TTGGCAAGGCGTTAAGATGGATATTCCACCCCAAAAGAGAACGAAAATGCCACATGATTTGTAAAAACCCGTTTGTCATCAAGCCGAGCGGAAATCGTGGCATTTCCCACTGTGATTTACATGAGCTGGCTCATTCCTCACGTGTCCATCTCCATCTCATGTGGCCCCAGTTCCGGATTCTGGCAAGGGGCGCTCGCCAAGTCGACGTCGATGCTGCTGCTGACACGTGATAAAACGCTGCTCCGTCACCCGGCCACCCCGTACCCCCCTACCCCACTGCCTCACCTGCCACACCCCCAGCAGGGGCAGCGGTACGTTGTAGGTGAGCAGGGCACAAGGCATTAACATTTACATGGCACACGCACACACATCCCCTGCAAAGAGGGGGAGTGGCATCGGCAGAAACAACAACCAAAACTTTGGCAATTCTTTTGTGTGAAGAACAGGGCACACATGCATCCACACCCTCCGTCGTGTTATCCATCCATCCACAAGGTGGTAATGTGCGGTCCACCGGAGGGTGGGGGAGGTGGAGGGGCCGGGGATCGGGGACCAGGAACCGGGGGAGTACCGCCTCAAGGCAGCAACGGAAACTCTGTTACGGACGCCCATGGATCCCTGCCTGGGGTCGGACGTTGCCATTAACGTTTCTATTGTGAGCTTTTGGCCTTAGCGAAATAAATAAAATTCGACAGTTGCGATGGACATCTTCAGACACCTCCGCACAAAGCCCCATTCCTCGACTCAACGAAGTGAAAACTAAAGCACTGCAAGAAAGTTACTACATATGTAAAACGCTTCTGCCGAAAGTAGTTTCTATTTTACGGAAACAAGGGAAATCCTCAGTCAAGTAGACCAACAATCCCTAGATATTGCTCATATTATTTAAACAAATTCTAATTTGAATATTGGTGAAAAGAAAACTAATAAGCTGGACACAAATTTCCTTGCTGTTTATTTTAATTTTGATTTCTTTACAATCTTTAAAGCCACTACTAACTTTTCTTGCAGTGAATCGAAAAGTTTGCGGCTTTCAAATTTCGCTCAGACGAGCCTCGGCCCGGGACGAATTCCGGAAGGAGTCGGCAGGAGGAGGCTGAGCGGGATTGGGAGCCAACACCTACCAGTTGGTGCTGCTGCTCAGCGTATTTATCTATTCATGCTAGCAAAAAGCAATTCGAACGCCGGTCGGTCCGGGGGGAGCAGCCAAAGGACGATTGCGACGGGGATTCGGGGGACAGGACAAACTTCAATGCAGCTAACGATGTAGGGACAACAACGGAACAGAACTGCAGACGGAGCTAGAGCTGGAGATGGGAATGGAGATGGAGATGGGAATGGAGATGGAGCTGCGTTGCCCGCAATGGACTGCAGTGCAAGTTGATTCTGTGATTTTCGGGGGAAAAGTTATCCGGGGCCGCTCCTGCCACTCGTCCTTTTCCCTGCTGCATTTTGAGCTTTTATTATGTTTTTTGGGAAGCCCTCGCCTCGTGTTGGTTCAAAGTTGAAGCTGCACCGGAGTGGGAGCGAAAAAGCAGAGAAGTGTAGACTTTTTAGTGTTTTACACAAAAGCGCCGCATGGACACGACCGAAAGGTCGAGGATCGGGGGTCAGATGGGGCCGGCTGGTCCTGAGACTGGGATCGGGTTCCTGGACGAATGGTTAGACGCTTGGCTGGCTGCAAACAAATAGACAGACGAAAGGAATCGAGCCCGGGAAGCGCTTGCAACATGCATTAGATTGGCAGTTGGGGATTTACTTGTAAAATGCAAATGCAATGAATGTACAATTTAGAAATTTTTACACCAAAAAATAGTAGACTCGATGGAACCGACACTGCAGTCTGCAGTTGGGGGCGAAATGGGAACTTGCACTGCCATGTTTCCTTCCATTGAACCACACAACAGACGGAATATCAGAGGGAAAGGATGGGTTCTGGTGTCCTGGGCGTCAGTCTGTTTTTAAAGTTCATTTGAAATGCAAGCCGTTGTTTTGTCTGAATGACTCGTAATCTATGCTAATGAAATTGTTTTTGGTTTCGGTTTTTAAAACGAATTTCAACCCCTCGCCAACTCGCAAAAACTTTCCGCATAACAACCAAAATTACAGGAGGACCAGCAGCTACAAATAACAGCAGCGCAGGGTGCCAAGATAAATAAACAAAATGTGTGTTGGCTCAAATTGAAAAGCAAGTGTAATGTACTTGAAGTTAATGCAGTTTCACTGCGTGCATTCAGATGGCTTTTTTCGAGTTGACTAAGGCAGCTAATTTAAGAAAGCTGGTGGGAGTGGCCAATTAATTTTTGTAGCATACCTTTAAAGTACAACCGTAGAAAGGGGTTTGAAAAATAATATTGGAAATGCTAAGAATGGCATTGCTTACATTATAAATAAATTTAGCAATACTTTAGTAACAAACTTAAAAGTTTTGTGCACAATTTTCAGGAGGGGAGATTGTTTTTAAAAGATTAGTAGGTGTCTTACGCATTAAACGTTTTTTATACCCTTTGCAACGCTGTGAAAGTGTTTAAAGTTCAAAACATTCATAATATATACTCTCAAAGATTTTGATTTGAACTTTCGGTAAAGTTTCACAATCAGAATTTACAATTTTAAAAGAAAACATTGATATAATTTCTTTGTACCTAAAAATGCTTACTTATGCTATATATAGCTCGCGATAAAGGTTTTAAAAATTATAGTTATAATTGTAACGTTAAATAAAACCTGTGGCTGGACGAAGCTAGCTTTTTAGAATGGAAATTTTAATTCAATAATTTCCTCAAGCATCTTGTCAACGACAACCTGTAGTAGCTCTCAGAATGCTTAACTCGTTTACCAAAATACCAAAACACATTACCAGGTTGTTGGACCTAGAGGAAGACTTTTATTGCAACCACAACAAGCTCACATGCCATTCATCCGCACAAAGCGATCCTTGCCACAGCTGCAATAAACTCCGGCTGCAGTTGCAGTTGCAACTATAAACTGAATTGTACATGCATACGAACATGCCGGCGCACATGCATCTATATGTGAGTGTGTTTATTGTGGAATTCATCAAAATCGCCAAGGCAACCCGAATTTTCATCGGATATTTGGCAAAAGTTGTTACTACTATGCCCACAACACACGAATATGCATTGCTACTTGCACTTAAAAAAAAGGTACACAATTGTTAAACAATTTCTTATAAATAAAATTAATTTAACCATTATTATAATCAACTATTTGAAGTAAGTTTCTATAAAAACGATAAAAAGATATAAGGGAAATAAGCAGTTCCGGTATATTCACGAAAATCTTATCCTTCAGAGATTGCCAAATTAGTGGAAAAAATTGTATTCAACTACTAGTTTTGGATTTTAGCGAACTGAATATTAAGAACTAACTTATAACATAAACATGAAAATGTTTGATTTGCGTATGTATTTGTGTTAAAAATTAATTTAAAACAAATGTTCGAATAGCTCTTTATTGAAGGGCAATGGTTTATTTGAGTGCATCCTTAACCCTTGACTGGTCGGCAGCCACTTTGTCGCCCCTCTCCCCCGCCAATGGATATCGCCCAGCAAAGCTCCTGGAGGACGCGCGTCGCATGTGGCGTTGTTGATTACATTGTAGTGGCTGCCGTGGTTGTTGCTGCCGGATTGCTGGATGTTGCGTTGTCTGCGGCATTATTACAGTTGTTATTGTCGTCGGTGGCTGCCAGCTCCTGGCCGCAATATAAGGAATTCGGAAAAGTTTCTCAAAAAATGTCTGCGCACTTGACGGTGACGGCGACGACTTCCGCTGCAACTTGCAATGTGTCTGGTGTTGATGCTTTTATTTATGGCCCGCCGCTCCGCCCGCCACCTCCGCAACTGTAGGCCGGCCCTTCGGCGAAGCGTCAATAGTTGTATTTCTGCCCGCCAGGATCCGGAAGGATGCGAGGTACACGGATTCCTGCTTTCCAACTTAAATATTGCGCCCCAGGGGCCCTGACGTTTGAGAGCGAACTCGCAACTTCTGCACCCTTGGCCGCCCGCCTGCCCGCATCGTGGCATTACAGTGATTACGCCCAGTAAGTCTTACGGTTTTATTGTAAGCTGCTGGGTCCGCCGTCCTTAGACTCGCATTTATACACTCAACAAAAAGCCTGATTCTTTTTGGAAATAATGTAAAATCTAAGTAAGGTTTTATAAATATGGAAACACTTGAAGGGCGTTCATGAGAAGAAAATAAAATATATTATTTATAAAAACTTTGAAAGAAATATAAAAAGATAAAACTTTATTTGTGTTTAATAACTTGCAGAATAAACCTTTTTTACCTTTTTTAAATGTAGTTATTTATTACATTATTTTCACATGCTGATCGAATATGAATATAAGTTTTTAAATAGTTTTCAAAAAGAAAAATTATTTCGAATAAGCAAACCTTTTTTTGAGTGCATGTGCATATGTGTGTTGAACGTTGTGAATTGGCAATGCGAAAACTTGGTGGGTAAACTTGAAATGCGCAACTCGCACAACAGACTCAGTAGCACTATCCTAACTACCACCTGCATTACCAAATCAAGCAGAGCACGTAATGAATCAGTCACAGCGATTAACTTTTACAGCAGCACCGAGCGAACAAATTGCGACTGACGTTGTCACAGAGTCAACCTGCCCGGTCACAACTTTCTCTGAGGGTGAACGGCATCCTTTGATCTTCTGGTTTTCGAAGTCTCTGAAGTTAATCCGTAATACAGCTATTATTCGGTTATAACTATCTAAGAGGCTATTCTTATCATCCAAAGTTAATTCTTTTTTGAATACCAAAACCAATAGTTTCCGATCATGTCATGTCGAGAAGCAACCTAAACATAAGGGATAGTTAGAATAGATATATTAAACACAGCAATTCTTAAAACAAGTCTACAAGTCTAGTAGAATGTGCCATTGTGTGTCACTGATAGTTTAATATAAACCATTTGTAAAATAATAAACCATTCCTAAAACACAAACAAATCTCAATTGTTATGTTGTTTCTTTTATTAGTAAAAATATAATTGTATTTGATTTGTATATTTAAGTATATTGTTTGTATAATTTTAATTAACAAATATTGCAGCAAATTTCATCTACTAAATTACGGATTACGTTACGTATGCTTCATACGGTTACACGGTTGCTTGTTTTGTTTTTGCCGGCGACGCTTCGTTGTCTGCGTGTGAGTTTCTGTCCGGTCCTTTTTCTAACTCGGCGTTTGAGTGTGTACGCTGGCTTACAATTAACGGAAAGTTTCAACAACGAGTTACAGCAACAAAACACTTTCTGCCATGGACTTACAAAAAAAGATGCTCGTTCAGAGTACGTATCTACCTACATCCATGCGCTGAGTATGTGGAGTACGGATTACGGCTAAGGGCTTACATGAGACGACATCCCTCCCGCTCGCGGCTGTTCTGCCGGGGCAGCTGACGCTGGGTGGGCGTCGATTGGGCGGAGGAGCCGCTGGCCACCGCCGCATTTCCGTTCGACTCTAGACTTGCGTGCCGGGTGAGCCGCTGGTGACTTGGCCGATGGTCAGCCCCCGTCCGTTGGTTTCCGTTCGCCTGCGTCGATTTTGGCACGAATTCGCCCTCTTCACTTTCCAGTCCGTGCATCCCAGTGGCGACGTCCACTCCCTGCTCGGTGGCCGGGCTGGCATCTTGGAGGGGCGACAGAGCGGCATCCCCCAGCGACTGTATGTACTGCTCCAGCAGGTAGACGTGCGGCTGCAAGGTGAGCACGAATCCCCGGTACAAAGAGCCACTGTGCTCGAAGGTGCTCTGGCTTAATTGCTTGAGGGCGGTCTCCGTGCGCAGGCAAGTGTGCACCGACTCGCTCCGTATTATCCCGTTCACAATCCGCGAGATGGAGGCCGCATCCTGGAGCAATATCGAGAGAACTAGCGCGTAGTCCGTGCAGTTGGCCTCAATGAAAAGCTGCAACAAATAGCGCAGCTTGATGGACAACTTCGCGGGCAGCGGATCCACGTCCAGGTCGTCTTCCGATGCCGGTAGCGAGTAGAGACGGCGATAGCGGAAATTGTCGAACGACACCTGCGACCCGGAGCGGGTCTTGAGCACTGGTAGCGAGCTGGGCTGTTGCAGTTCTTCCTCCTCCTCCCTAATGCTCGGCTGCAGTTGCGGCGACTGCGTTGCGGCCCCATTGGGCGTGGCCAGGCTCAAGTAGCCGGACTCCGACGTCTGCGAGGATCCTCCGCCGCCTGTCTGCCGAACGCTTCCTCGTATCTGGGCAAAGTCGTCCTTTACTGTAGTGGGAAATGGACTGGGAAGCTGAAGTTCCACGTGCAGTGCCTGCAGGGCGCCAGTAAAGTCATCCAGTTTGGCGGCACGCTCCGACTCTTGCGACAGCCAGCTGACAAGGTGAAAGTCCAGATAGGCACCCATGTAGCCCAGGTCCGTCAGCTTGTGGTTCTGCAGAAGCTGCCGGGCATGGCGCTGCAGGATCAGATCGATGCAGAAAGTCTCGCGCTGCTTGGTGGACCGACGGCGCACCACTGTGGGTGCTCCCGCACTGCTGGTTTCCGTCAGAGGCGTTACTGCTTGGCCAGCGGGGGGTGTGCTTGTCCTTTGGCAGGTTGCTGGTCACAGTGGTGGAGAAACTGCGCTCCCTGGCAATGGGGCCCAGGACCATATTGAAGGCATCCGCATTCTGGTTCACCTGCTGCTGCGTGTTAACCTGGGGCGGAGGAGCGATCTTCACATTAACCACCATCGAGGACCGTGGTGAGTCGATCTCGTTCGGGTCGATGGCTTTTAGAAAGCGGATCAGGTCCTTGGCCAGCTCCCACTTCCGTTGCTGCAAAGCAATGTCCAGCAGCATGGTGGCATATTGCTTGCTAACCACCGATGGCTCCAGATTCTGCAGGATTATAAGGTAGCTGGCGGCCGTGTCCAGCTGCTCCGACTGCAGACACAACTGGAACAGATCCTTGGGCTTGCCGGCCATTGAAAAGAGGTAAGGCCAAAGTGCGATCTCCGTCTTGCGGGCGCACTGCACAATTGTCTCCAAGTAGACCGGAAACTCGCGTATAAAATCCAGGATGCTGGGCAACTGGGCATCCGGAATGGGCTGTTTGCTGGTAGCCTCTTCCTCGAGAACCTCGTGCAAAAGCAGTTCCAAAGCGTGCGGGAAATAGGGCAGGGAACGACACGACTGCGCGATCTCCCAGGCGGAGTATCCAAGGTTCCTCTTGATCAGCTGGCGCAGTACTTTGTGCAGATAGATTTGCGACTTGCGCTCCATCACGGCGAACGGGAGTGAGAAGTGGGAGCTCTGCTCGTTGGCGTAAAGAGTGCTTTCGTTCTCCACGCCCAGCACGATCACATTGTCGAACAGCACAACCAGTGGATAGAGCTTCAGCGGGAAGCCCAGCATGATCCGTTTTGACATGAAACTGTGCAGCCGCTGAGCACTGTCGTGCTCTCCCTCGCGACGCTCTCTTCCCGGCGGCAGAATTGGTAGCCACACGCGCATCCCGTGGGCCCCCGAGTAAAGCCAGAGGCAGTCTCGCATGGCACAGCGCTCCAGGGCGTGCGACAGCCAGAAGACTTCAACGCAGCTCGCCAGACACGTGGCCAGCAAGGTGTTGGGCACCTGTTTGGTAGAGAAGATGTTGGTATTAAGTAGTAAGATTGAGATAAGTATTTCATACCTGCTCGCTTGCGTCGCGCTGGATCATCAGGATGCGGCCGCAGACATTCACGATGATTGTCTCCGCCTGCTCACCACCCTGCTGCTGACCCTGCGGCTTCAGCTCGTTCTTGAGGTTCGTCACGGTCAGACTCACAATGCACGCCGGGTGGATGCATATGCTCTTCACGTCCAACTCGTAGGCGCACTCAATATCCAGGGCGTAGGCCGACTTTTTTGTCATGTTGAAAAGGCTCACGATCCCATCGGCAGTGAGCACAATCAACTGGTGGCGGAATGAGTTCAGGGCACTTACAGGCGCTCGCACCTGCAGCTTGTGGCCGAATTGGTTGTCCAGTTTGCAGTCCGCGGGATAGCACCGCAGCTCGTCCGTGCGATCCAGGAGTGAATAGCAGCCCATGACCACAAACCCGTGCCACCACAGAAGGCCCCCGGAGACAACGAAGTCTTTCTCCTGTGACTCGTTGCCGAAGAGCTTCCACCGTCGCGTCACCAGCGAGTAGTGGGCCAGTCCAGTGCGCCCAGCCACCGCCAAGTGTAGTCCATCCGAATCGATGGCAGCATATCGGATTGGCCAGTTGGTGGCCGCGTAGTTGAGCGGCAGCTGTAACACCGTCCAATACTTGCTCTCCGTAAGGATGCTGCCCGTATGTGGGCTTTGTTTCAGCTCCAGGCAGTCGCCATCGCCGGTCACCGCATCATCTGAACCCACGCCGCTGGAGGGAAACGTGGCCTGACTTCCGGCGTAAGTCGGCTCCAAGTTATTGCCCTGGTTTAGGTACAGGCAATCATCTCCCTGCAGCAGTATGTGCGGGTTGGTTGTCATGCAGGGATTTATGCTTAGCGCGCTCTTAACGAACTGCAGCTGCAGGACATTGCTCTTGTCTTTGTCCTGCCTCTCCGGCGGCTGCTGCGTCAGCATGAAAAGATGGTAGCCCTCAGTCGACCACTCCAGGCGTCTGAGCTTGAGTGGGTTTTGTCGCACTAGATCTACGTTGAGGCCAAAATCCCAGCTCAAAGTAGACATTAACAACGCTCCAAAGGTGCTCCACAGGGACAAGCCTCCATTGGACCAACTTACGGCTAGAACGCAGCCGTCGGGGCTCCACTTCAGCTCGTTCACCGCTCCCAAACTTCCAGGCAGTACATTCTCCGTAAGCATCAACCGGTGGGAAAATTCTAGACCCCCAGTGGCGTCATCAATCGCATACACATTCACCGCCGAGCTCTCCTGGCCGTAGGCCAACAGGCGAAATTTATGGTTGACACTGCACACGCTTGCATCCTCCACATCCGGAACCCAGAATCCGTGCATGTGGTCGGTCTCGAATCTCAAGTGGTTGGCAATCAGGAAGGCGGCACGACGGTCGCTGAAGACGGCCGCACAGCCGCCTATGAACGGCGAGTATTCCAGCGAGGCTACGTAGGAGTCGCTGCTCAAAGGCGGTACATTTCGGACTGACGTCTGCTGTGGCTGTTGTTGCACGTAGAAGGGAATGTCGCACAGTTTAATGGCAGCAAGAGCTGGCAGCTGAAGTTCGTTCTCGGAGTGCTCCAACTGAGTCCACTGCAGGCGCAGCAGCTCGCAGGACTGGGTGGCCAGGAGCAATTCGCTGAGGCTGATGCAGCACAAGGTGGTGATGACTGAGCCCAGAGTGACACTGCACAGCTCGTGCAGGCTCAGCCGGGGGATGTTCTCCTTGATGAACAGCTCGGCGGAGTCACGTTTGAGGCTGGCGGCGGGTGGATCCACCTGCTGCAGAATCCCACTGCCGTTAGCGTCGAAGTCCAGTTGGTACAGCAGGAGCGCGCCGGACGCAGTGAGCAGGGCCAACTGGCGGGAATCCGGCTTCCATACGATCACCTGGTTGGAGCCGTACTGCCGCAGGGAGTCCGCCGTGCGCCGAAAGTAGGCAATGGGGATGAGCGGATTCGCGTACCAGATGCCCAGGAAGTCATCGCCCACGGCGGCCACGAGTATCTTGACGGCATCGAAGCAGATATGCCGGATGCTGGCGCTCTCGCCGGGCATCCCCAGACCCACACGCTTGGGCCAGCCCACGGGAAAGTACATCCTCCGAGTGAAAAGTTACTGTGCAAACGAAAATACTCCATTAGTCAGGGCAGGGCAGCTAAAAAGCGGTTTCAACCTGAGGCCGGGTGCGGGTGCATTTACATTATGTGGGATACACCCAGTTTTACATGGTCTGCCTCGCCCAATTAGCACTTTAACAAAACATTCCACAGCACAACAAAATTTCTGCGCGATTTACGCGTATACAAATGTGAGTGTTGTTAAACGTCCCGAAATCACAGCTGTTTGCCAATCGCCGTTTCGCACCACTGATTTTATTTGTGCAACAGTGTTGAGAACATGACCTTTTCCCGCTAAACAGTTGTCAGCTGTTCCATACAAAAGTCCATATACTGTATAAATACAAGTTTTTTATTTTACTACAGTTGTATAAAGCATTTTAAAGAGTCATTTCCGGTTGAAGTCGGCTAAGCAATACATTTTTTAGACCTTCAAAATCAAAGTTTTTTTTTGAAACCACAGTAAACTGACAGGACGATATCAGTTCACTTGGATGGTTCCCCAGCTGATTCATTTGTGAACCAAAATGAACTTAATTCGATACGGTGAACTAAACATCAGCCGGCTTTTGAGCAGTGAAAAATTTGGAGGATTTAAAAATATATTCTCAAAATGACTGCATTCGAAGGTAAGAAGAAATCAATACGCAAGGATTTGATTGATTAGCAATCCATTTCCCGCAGAGTTTGGCGTGCTCCCGGAGTTGGGAAAGGCCACCGACGAGTTGGACTGGACGTAAGAAGAACTGCACTCTGGCTTCCATAATTTGTAACCCTTTTAATTTGTAGCTTGCCCACTGATGTCCAGGCAGAGGCCATTCCCCTGATTCTGGGCGGTGGCGATGTCCTGATGGCCGCCGAAACCGGATCGGGAAAAACGGGTGCCTTTTGCCTCCCCATTCTGCAAATCGTGTGGGAAACGCTGCGGGACCTAGACGAAGGGAAGGCCGGCAAAGGCGGCGCATCCGGAGGGGGAGCGGTGGCGCCCTGGACCATGTCCTTCTTCGACCGTGGCAACGCCCTCGCCGTCACCCCCGATGGACTGCGCTGCCAGTCGCGTGAGTTCAAGGAGTGGCACGGATGCAGGGCCACCACGGGTGTCCGCGGCAAGGGAAGGTTCTATTTTGAAGCCACGGTAACGGACGAGGGCCTGTGTCGCGTGGGCTGGTCTACGCAGCAGGCGAACCTCGATCTGGGGACCTGCCGCATGGGTTTCGGGTTCGGCGGCACCGGCAAGAAGTCCAACAACCGCCAATTCGACGACTACGGAGAGGCCTTCGGCAAGGCGGACGTCATTGGCTGCCTGCTGGATCTGCAGCGCCTAGAGGTGAGCTTCTCTAAGAATGGACAAAATCTTGGCGTTGCCTTTCGCCTGCCAGAGAACCTTGCCAAGGAGACCTTCTACCCGGCCGTGGTGCTTAAGAACGCCGAGATGCAGTTTAACTTTGGAAAGACTGAGTTTAAGTATGCCCCAGGCAACGGATTTGTGGGCGCCTCCAAGGCTGGAGCTGAGCACAGCAAGGCCAACCCGTTGGCCAGTTCAGCAGCTGGCACCGTGACCGCCAAACCGGCACCTAACGCCCCCCAGGCCATCATCATCGAGCCCAGCAGGGAACTGGCCGAGCAAACCTACAACCAGATCGAGAAGTTTAAGTACCACCTGAGCAATCCCGAGGTGCGCTCTCTGCTGCTCATTGGCGGAGTGCGACTAGAAGAGCAGAAGGCGCAGCTTATGCAAGGGACCCACATCGTTGTGGGCACGCCCGGTCGTCTGGAGGAGATGATTAATAGCGGCCTGGTCTTGCTCACTCACTGCCGGTTCTTCGTTCTGGACGAGGCGGACGCACTGCTCAAGCAGGGGTACACCGAATTGATTGACCGACTGCACAAGCAAATACCCAAGATCACGTCGGACGGTCGTCGTCTGCAGATGGTTGTCTGTTCGGCCACTTTACATGCGTTCGAGGTGAAAAAGATGGCCGAGCGGCTCATGCACTTCCCCACCTGGGTGGACCTGAAGGGAGAGGATGCCGTTCCGGAGACCGTGCACCACGTGGTCTGCCTTGTCGACCCTCAGCAGGACACCAGCTGGCAGACGCTTCGTCAGCCGATTGGCACCGACGGCGTCCACGACCGCGACAACGTTTACCCAGGCAATCCCTCCGAGGAGACGCAGTCACAGGCAGTGAAGTTGCTCAAGGGCGAGTACTGCGTCCACGCTATAGATAAGCACAACATGGACCGGGCCATCATCTTCTGCCGCACCAAGCAGGACTGTGACAACCTGGAGAGATACCTTCGGCAGCGGGGCGGGCAGCGCTACTCATGCGTCTGCCTCCACGGCGACCGGAAGCCGCAGGAGCGCAAACAGAACCTGGAGATGTTTAAGCGGCAGCAAGTCAAGTTCCTCATTTGCACGGACGTCGCGGCCCGTGGTCTGGACATAACCGGACTTCCTTTTAGTAAGTTAATAATACACTCGTTAGTTTATAAGAAAATGTTTATTAGGGTGCGTACTCTTGAAATGCATTAATGCACAAAATGCTCTCCACTAAGCGTTTTGCAAGAAAGATGCCCTCTGCACATGAAGAAAATTTTGAAAGAGATTTTAAAAGATTTTTTTTCGAAACATTTTATACAACAATTGGAAACTACTCTTAGCTTAACCAGTTTTCTTTGATTCCGTATTCCGAAGAATACCTTGTGAATGTTTTTTTCTATAAAAGTCGAGCTTCCATCATGTTAAGCGGTTCAGGAATCCCATCCGTATCTTGTGTTCAAAACATTTGTACAGGTTTAATTTTGAAAATGTTTATGTTTTAAGTGTAAATAACCACATACCTGTAGCTTGCCGTAAATCCGTAATAATTGCATTTCCTATACCCCCAGTGATCAACGTGACGCTGCCAGACGACAAGACCAACTACGTGCACCGCATCGGCCGCGTGGGCAGGGCGGAGCGCATGGGCCTGGCCATCAGTCTGGTGTCCACGGTGCCGGAGAAGGTGTGGTACCACGGCGAGTGGTGCAAGACGCGCGGCCGCAACTGCAACAACACCAACCTGACCGACGTGCGCGGGTGTTGCATCTGGTACAACGAGCCGAACCTGCTGGCCGAGGTGGAGGACCATCTGAACATCACCATCCAGCAGGTGGACCGCGCCATGGAGGTGCCAGTCAACGACTTCGACGGCAAGGTTGTATACGGCCAGAAAAACTTGAACACGGGCAGCGGCTACCAGGACCACGTTGAGCAGTTGGTGCCCACCGTTCGCAAACTGACAGACCTGGAGTTGCAATCACAATCTTTATTTTTGAAACGCCTTAAGGTCTAGAGCGGATCTGGAGCGGTATTTGTTTGCTAAGCAAGGAGAGGGTGTGGTGCAATGAGGCGACTGCATGACCAGCTCTCGCGGGAATACTTTTGCGGCACAGACACACATAAATATGTAGGAAATAGGAGCTGTTGCTCTGTCATTACGAGTAAACATTCAATTAAACTAACTTTAAAATCTTCTGTCTAAGAGTAAACTGCCTCGGATGGGGGCCGGAGTCGGGTTGCCATCACTCCTCCTCCTCCTCGTCCTCCTCGTGAAATGCGGTCCTCATCTGCTGCAGCTGTCTGAGCTGCTGGCACAGCTGGTTGCCGAACGACTCCACGTAGCGAGGGCTGATCTTGTCCAACAGCGCGTAGGGCGTCTCGAAGATCTCCTCCTGCTCCTCGCTGTCGTTGTCCTGCTCTGGTCCGTCACGAAGCAGGGCGGAGATCCGCGGGTCCTCATCTATGGTGTCGTACTGGGAGGAGACGATCTTGAAGCCACGGCTGGTCACCTGCACGCAGCACGTAGCGCTCTCGATGGTGCGGATGTTGAGGTAGATCTGCGTGGCGTCGCTCACCAGTTTGGATGAGATGCAGATCTCCGCGACGTGGGCCTTAACATCGTTGATAATAGCGTTAGCCTCCTCCTCGCAGTTAAAAACCTGCTCCTCCAAAGGATCAGCGCTGGCCTTCGGTTCGCCCATCCTGTCAGATTCGCCACGGAGTGCTTCGGCTCGCCTTAAAATTGAGTCCCAGTCGAATTCGTTCGGATTCTACAGGCGCAACATGTCTTTTTCTTTTCCATATGTCACAGCAGCTGTCTACAGTTTGGGACGCGTTAAGGTATTTTGGCCATCTAAAGGGTGCGTTCCCATTTTTGTTTTCTCCGTAAAAAACAATCGCAAGTTTTGTTAAATGAAGCAAATTACTTTATTCAGCTATTCTAGAAAGGTTCCAGTTCCCAAAACGGTAACGCAAGATCGCTTCAAATTTTCTTATGATTCAAAATCTCACAAAAACATTCTTACGATTCGGTATACTTTTCCTGATTAGTTGGGTTCACAACCGCACAAAAGAAAGAATAGATCAGTCTTGTTTTTCGGAGTCCACTTTTGTATCACACTTTTCCTGTTATATTTGTCATATTTCTCGCATTTATCAGACTTTTTTCGGAGTCCGCATTTTGTATCACACTTTTCCTGTTATATTTGTTCTATTTCTCGCATTATGTTAAGGAAAATATGAGTTGGCTTTGTCCCTTCGGTTCTGGGAATATTTAAAAACTAATTTCAAGTATTTTATTAAGTTACAATACATTTATGTTTTCATTTATTATTCTTTAAATTGTTATTCCATACATATGTATGTATGTACTTTTGGTGGAAAATATACATACAAAAACAAAAAAAAACAAAGATATGGCTTTTTTTCTATTAGTTTTCCATATTTTCGACTATTATTCATATGTCACCTATATAACATAGTCGTCCGATTGATAAATTTAATTCGTAATTCAAAAATCGTTTCTATATATTCCAAGAATCATGCTTGTCTGATAAAAAACAACAATGTTATAATTTTGTTTCTGTAATTTCTATATAGATTCTTCGATCTTTCTTATGGCAGCTATATGATATCGTTGTCGGATTTTAACTTTAGTACATAGTTAGAAAACGCCTTCTGGAGGAAAGCAAGTCGATCTTTTTCATTTCATATTCTCGTATGAGATCTTTCCGATATAGTTGGCCGATTCGGCCCGTTCCGACTTATATACTGAGTGCAATAACTACACAACTTTTGGAAGAGTTTCAGCAAGATAGCTTCAAAACTGAGAGATTAGTTTAAAGAGAAATAGAAAAACGGACAGACGTACACACGTATTTCGATTCTGATCGTGATGCTGATCAGGAATATATATACTTTATGTGGTCTGAGGTGTTTCCTTTTTACTGCGTTGCAAACTTTTGACTGAATTTATAATATTCTTTGTTTTGCAAAGGTATACAAATTTATAATATCCATACAGTTAGCACACAATTTATTCGGACACCCCTGATTTGCAATCTTATGCAACGTTATAACAACTCCGCTTACTGTGTACGTCCGAGTTTTGCGACGAAAACTCGATGGCTTGGTTGGTCCCCAAACTTATATGAAAGGGCCTCCGCTTAGTACTTTTTTTTGGCGCTTTTAGTTATAAACTGCTTATACGAACGAAATTTTTCACAATTCAACCAGATATTGCAATACACCGAAATAATGCCAACAAATTTATGTATTTATCAGTGATCGGCACGACACGAAGGTTCTTACAGTCTCACTACTCTTTGTTAGTTTTAGTTATAAAATAAAAACTAAATAAATAAAAAAGTTCAGATAAATTCTGTACGCATGTAATACAAACTGAAACGAAGTCAATTGAGTTAGACCATATATACAATTATCAAGAAATTTCCATAATATACGTTGGAAAATAATTAAATTTAAACGGTATACTGATGATATGCCATTTAAAAGTGTTAAAATTAGAAGGAAGATCCCGACGCCTGGATTCAAAGAAGTTCAAACGGAAATTTGGATTCATCGCGCGTTGGTTGTTATCGATTGGAAATTCAAGATTCGAACCAACGTTACCTTGGTGGGAGTATATATAATCAGAATATTTGATGTTGATTTAGTGAGTCGAAGGCAATTTCGTAGTCTGGTAACACTCAATCATTGCGAAAAAAATAAGAATCGAGGCAACGGCACGGCGACGGCAAACTGCAGTTCGAAGAATACACGGACAAATTTTGGTGTGTGGTGTGTGCTCGGCAGCAAGAGACTTTCAGGGCGTGCGACAACGATCGCAAGTGATAATTACCCGTTCGCAGGCGAAGTGACACAGGAAAACAAGCGTCAAAATGAGCGCACCTGGCATGGACAAGAGAAAACTCTCGTAAGTATTTTGCAGAGTTCCTTCGTTTTTTCCTCCACTGCGCACACACAGCCGCGGTCGGCAGAGTACACACACACGTGGAATGTGTGTACGCGTTTGTGTGTGGATAGCAGCTGCGCGCAGACTTCTAAGCGGCAGCGCTGTCGGCGTCGAAATTGATTTTTCGCGGCAGAAGTTTTCTTGGGCCAGCAGGCATATTCCTCTTGCGTCGGGATAAACAAGGATCAGGCCTTGGCAAGAGGGATGGAGAGTTCAGGGGGAGGGGTACGGGGGCAGCTGCTGCAGGAGTAGACAGGCCGACAAGCGATTTCGTCCTGGGCAAGGCCAAGGACAAGCCGATGCTGACGGACAATGTCGATTTCTATTCCTAGGCAAATTCAATAATCGACTGTTAAAACCGATCCTATTGAAGTTCAATGGGGATATCGCTATATTAATATGAAGATATTTTACAGAAGCGATTGAACAATATTCCTTACTAGTTTGCTTATTTATTCGTAATGTAACCTGCAGACGCTAACAATTTTGATGAAGAGTGTCTCAAAGTCGGGGCACCGGAGATCTGTTTTCATGTTCAGCTTTCCGTGCAACACACACCGAATTCGCCATAAGCGATAACAACGAACCCACAGATCCAATCACTTGCAAACTATCCACAATCGTTATCAGCCAGAGAGTTATGTATATAGCCGTGTTAGTTGGCCCTGTTAGCCCCTTCGAAGCGATATGACTAATACTGCCAAGCGCTTTTAGCTGTCCCAGTTTGGGGCGCTGCCCAAGGCGAACTCGAATTGGCTTCGCCTGTCGTGACGACTGCCAGCGTCCTTGGCCCTGTGCAGCCGCCCACCACCCGCCGCCCACTGACCCTGGGCCCGCCCATCCGTTTGAGCCTCTAATCACCCTCATCACCGTGCTCCTCAACCACTTTGTCAGGCTCTCGCCGTCTTATCAGGTCGCAGATTCTCAGAGCGGTGTAGCCATACATAGCTTTCCCTCCCTTGCACTTGGCCAGCTTATAAATAGCAGCCACCTGCTCAAGAAAATCCATACGGTGTGCATGCGGAAGGGTGCAATTTATGCTGCACGCGACCCCTCTGCAGAGCCATCAATGCCAGCTGCTTCCGACCCGGACGCCACCAATGCCAGCGTTTGCACCCGCGGGTGCAGAGGCCCAGAGGCCCAGTGCTGGAAGGGCTCCCATCGCGTGCCACGGCTAACTGTTGCTGTGGTGACTCATAGCCCTTCAATAGCACTTGTCGCTGCTGGGCTTCAGTCGGCGCGACCAGAGAGTGACATACCCTGCTGAAGCAATGTCGGAGCCACCGTGCAACTCTGCCGCGGACCAAGCAGTGCGTCATGAAGTGCTATCTGACTGTGCTTATCAGCCGTTGATTCCCGACGCCGTTCCGTGGATAGTAACCCCACTACGATGCGGCAGCGTACTAATGGTTTTCCCCGTTTTCATTCAGCACATCTGGCGACTCGCTCTACGAAATCCTAGGACTTCCGAAGACAGCCACCGGAGATGATATCAAAAAGACTTACCGGAAACTCGCACTCAAATACCATCCCGACAAGAACCCCGACAATGTCGATGCGGCCGATAAGGTATACACAAGTTATCAAAAAATTTGAGTCTCTAAAACACTTCTTAACGCTCTCGTTCCCACAGTTCAAGGAGGTGAATCGCGCCCACTCTATTCTGAGCGATCAGACCAAGAGGAACATATACGACAACTACGGCTCCCTGGGCTTGTACATAGCCGAGCAGTTCGGCGAGGAGAATGTCAACGCGTACTTCGTGGTCACGTCACCAGCGGTGAAGGTCAGAAATCGCCGCTTTGAGCATCCATGTTCTGGTTAAAACCCTCGATCTTTTTCCAGGCGCTGTTCATCTGCTGCGCTGTGGTCACCGGATGCTGCTGTTGTTGCTGCTGCTGCTGCTGTTGCAACTTCTGCTGCGGCAAGTTTAAGCCGCCGGTCAATGAGTCGCACGACCAGTATGCACATCTGAATGTGAGTGAAGTTTGAGTTGGCCCCGCCAAGTTAAAGTCCCTACCCCGCCCATTAAATCAAGTCCGCTACTAACTGAAAACATGTTGATTTAGTTAAGAAAACAAGAAAACCAATCTGGTGCAAAGCCAATACACACGCTTTAACGCATGCTTTCCATCCACCCACCCACTGTACTCAGGGCAACTAAACCCCAATCCGATTTTGATGATTTTTGTGAGGAGATCCGTATCGTTGTTCCGATTAAGAACCTAATGTTTAGTCAAAAACGTGCTCGTACGTGTGACATCAGCGCTTGCTTACTATTTTACCGATCAATAAACGCTTAACCACTTTTTAGTATTATTTATCTGGTTTATTAGCTTTCCTGGCACGCCACCTAAACTGTTTGGTTTTGTCCTAGCTCTGTAAAAACACTCGACCCTCTGGTTGCACAGCTTTGTTCTAAGTTTTTCGTTTCGGTAAGTATGATGTTTGGTTTTGGTTTTCGGTTCTCAACACACTCTAAACACGGCGGAAATCAGAAGCCTGGTGTCTGGGGACAAGGTAAACACTACTAACCCATCCACAAACTTTCCGATCAATTCGAGTTAAGTTCTCCTTACGTATTGAAATCTTGATATAACTTCTCCTCGTTTTGTAATGTGTACTTCACGAAAATCATCAAATGCTTCCAACGTTTCTCTTTCTACCTACCAATGTAATCTAATGATAACGACAACACTCACACGCTCGGATTTCCCGCGACTGAGTCTGAGACTGAGAAATCGAGTTTCCAGACAGGAATCCAGCGATTTTGATTTTATCCACGATTGCTTTTCTTGTTTATTACGTGTCCCATTGCGCACTCAGTTTTAGTTTGCACCGACATCTGCAGCGTTTCTCCTTTGTTTGTTTGCGAGTTAAGGAAGAGAAGCCGAACATTTACGTTTCTATTTTTGTTTAACTTTTTTTTTCTCAAAACTCTTTGCGATCGACTCATCATATCCACCACCTACTACCACCCACAACCACCACACACTCGCTCTCGGCCGCGCCGTCAGCGCCCCGATGGCAATCGAGAGGTCAACGATATGCCACCACATCTGGGACAGCCGCCTCGCCTTGTAAGTATGCGAATCGAAAACGATACCAGCACGAGTAGCGCATGAACTCGGGGCAAAATCACCAGCCGCCTGCCAACTGGCACCCACCGACTAACAAACACACAGGCAATAACCGAATCCAATCCAAATTTATGTGTTCCAAGGGAACCACTATTACTAATATTCAGTCGCAAAATAAACTCGATCTAGAGCACGTTCGAAGAGATGACGAAAATACGGGGATATACTCTGATAAGTTTGCAAGAATGGGCTAACCATGCTTCTGCTGTAAATGCTTGGGTAAATGTGTTATGATTTTCCTACTTTGCTGTCATCTGGCTGATTATAATTTTGTAGTATTTGGCTTGAAGTGTCCTCGTAATTGTAAGCACTGTAAAAGTAATTAATCCGTAGCTTAACTGTAGAATAGTGAACGCGGCTTGTAGACTGCTTACCCAACGAAGGTTTTTGACTAAACATTGCCAAGGGAGCACCCCTTGAAGCTCTAAAAATTGAACCTGAAGCACAATTGTAAGAATGAGAGCAAGACTAACCGATGGTTTGTGTGTTCCACAGGAGGACGTTGATCTCGACGACGTGAACTTGGGAGCGGGCGGAGCCCCAGTGACCTCGCAGCCCCGCGAGCAGGCCGGAGGACAGCCCGTTTTCGCCATGCCGCCGCCCAGCGGAGCCGTGGGGGTCAACCCCTTCACTGGCGCCCCCGTTGCAGCCAACGAGAACACGTCGCTGAACACAACGGAGCAGACCACTTACACGCCAGGTATATAAACAGTCGCTCCAGAAGACAGCCTCTCAGCCAGCTCCCGTCGAGGGGGAGGCAGCCAGTTAAGCAACCCGACAAAGCGTCTTTGACCATCGAACTTGTTATTGTGCATAAATCGAACAAATATTGTAACCTTCGGTCGCTGGACAAGTGGCTCCGGTTCTCAGCCACCCTTCGGCGCAGCCCGTCCAGCGATCAGATTAACACCTCCTTAGCAGTTAAGCTCGTGTATTCGGCAAGGTATTTTTTAGACAGTCGCACCCTGTGTATGTAAGACTCACACATGCCCAGGCCCAGCCATACGTCCACGCGAACATGGGGTCCACCTACTCAGATCTGCATGTGAAATCATTAAACCGTACACTGCCCGAGCGACGCGAAGACCAATGCCTAGATTGACCCAGTCTTTCGTCCCCCAGGTCTGTGGCAGCCGTTCTCAAGCCACCCCTTTTAGAGGACCGTCTCCCTGATCCTTTCAAGCTTTCGCAAGTTTTGTTTTCCATCTCAGGTCCATTGGAATATCCTGGCTATCATCTGTATGTTTTATCAAAAGATCAAGACGAGTATCATTAGTTTAGTTCAAGTTTGTTTGGTTTTCCTTGGTTTTATTATTTATTATGCAACGCGTAAGTTTTAATTTGTTTTCACTTATCACTGTCTACTGTTCTCTCTCTCTCTCTCTCTCTTCACCTCTAGATATGGTTAATCAAAAATATTAGTCAAGTTCTGCGAGCGAGTCAAGCCCCCGGTGCATGCGAACGCCACACATTCAGAAACAGACACAGAAAATACAATCCCCTGAAAACAGATTTATTTCATAATTATTAAAGTTGTTTTTAAGATGCGCGATATGTTGAAGCGAGTAAACATAAAACCTATGTATTTATTTTAAGCCGTAGCACTAGCTTTAATTTAAAACCACTCTTGGCGCGATCTTGGCCAGTCGGGTTGATCTTGGTCCACTCCGGGTAATCGTTTCACCAATTCCATTGTTCAAGCCTGTCACCCAGCTTCAGAGCTGTCCTCAACTCGAACCGATGGCCAAGCTGCGCACCACCATCTCCAGCTGTCCAGCCATGCTATATGCTAAAACACCAGCGGTGTTGACTAATTTGTGAAACGAGAGTTAGTCCAGACATTTGCTTGGGGATCGGATCCCTTCCGGCACAGCTCCGTGGTTTTGGATTCACCGCAGTGGACGATGAATCGACTTCTCGCGAAGAGAGGCACTGTAATTATATATATGTATATGATATGTGTATCTAGTTTGCATTTGTGTCGTCGCATAGTCTAGCTAAATTGTTCGCAAGATCGCCTCTTCGCCGATTGTTTCTGTTTCTGTTAATTTGCACGGAATTGTTAGAGCCAAAACTACTTATGTAAAGAAGATGAATTGTCGAGCGACGCGCCAAGCAGATTGCTCCGATCCGATTCTAATGCAAATGTAAATAAGTCAATAAGCAACTAAGCATCCCACAGTCAGACAGAGGAGGACGACAAAGGAGTACACTTCGAAGGGCGATGTTTAATGGACGGATAAATTATATAACAGATATTAATAATCCCCTCTATATAAATATATATATATATGAATCAAACACGAGTAATCAAAAGTTCAATTGTAACCCCCGAAAGTATTGCACATATTTATGTATTCTAAATTGTTTCCAAAATGAAGTGAATCCTGTTTGGTTTTCGATTAATTGTTGACCCGCTTTTAAATGTAAATGAATGCGAGTAGTCCAGCAGTAATTAACTTTTATATACGTAGTACCCTCATTCTAAACCATTGACATCAATTATTGCCGATCAGCTCTGGGCCAGGCCCCAATATCTTGGGACTTGCCTGGCTCATCTGTAGTATACATATGCATATTTGAAATTCAATTAATGATAATTACATTTTACGGTCTTGCGTGTGTATTTATTGTTCGTACAAGTCAAAAGCAAAAATACTAAGTAACTTAAATTTAAACCTAACAATTGTTTCCAAATTTCAATTGTATTCTGGTGTAACACGAAGAAACCGAAATAAATTTACTATACAAACTCACCGCCGTGTCCTGTCCCTCTTGCTACTCCCCCAGGGTGTCCAGTGGTCGAGTCCGACTGCGGAAAGCTCCGGCAGGATGGTAAACAAACCCTTCTGGGCCGAGCTAAACTTTCGACGGCGCCAGCTGACTGCAGTTAGCTTTCGCGCTTTCCGCTCTCCGCTCCGGCTTTGTTTTGTTTTCGGGCAGTAACGGGCAACCGCCGGCACATGCGCGCTGCAGGCTCCCGGACTCTCCGGACTTCGCCGCAGAGTTTTCCGCCTCAGAACCCGAAGGGCAGTCCGTCGGAGAGTTCGAGCAAAGTGCGGACAAAGAAGGAGGCTTTCCTGCTGCTGCTGCTGCTGCTCCTGCCAGAAACGCAAAAGTGGAAAATGTGATTGATGTGCTCGTATTAAGTGTCGACTAAAATCAATTCCGCTGTTAACTAGATTACGGGCGCGAATCTAGCATCGAAGGCAGCGGAGGGCGAGGCGGAAGCGGTAGTGGTGGAATCTCAAGCTGAATCAGAATCAGAATCGAACAGGCAAACTCGGAGGAGGCCGTGGAAAAACCCCCATTCGCGAACCAGTTCGTTGAGTGTATGTGTGTATGTGTATGTGTGTGCGTGTGTGTGGCTTTTCGCCTCACTTTTTTCATGCGCAATTTGGGTTACAAGCGAGAAAAACGCTGCTTGAAATGCACTGAAATGTTTTAGGTCCGGGCCTCATTGATTTTCCTACGCACAGGAGCATGCTACACGAGGACCCACCCAGGAACACAGGGCGCAGGCCAGCGATGCGGACAAGGACGCGCGGCAGCCGCTTCTAGCCGCCCAGCAGTCACCAGGACCAGGCGAAGGACCAGCCCCCGCGCCGAGCAGGACTCTCACCCCGGGCGCACCGCAGCGGAGGCATCCTGGCGCCCGTTCTGCCCAGCGGCGGCATGGCCGGCCTCGTCGGCGCCGCCAACGGCAAGCACCACCACCCACACCTCATCTCGCCCACCCACTCGTCCCTGCCGGCCGGCATCTGCAGTAGTGACAGCGGCATCTCCACGCTGAGCGCCATCTCGCCCCCGCTCTCCACCTCGACCACGACGGCGTCCGGCGCTTCCGTGGGAGGAGGAGGGGGAGGGGTAGGCGGCACCGGGAGCGTCGTTTCGGCCGGCGGAGCTCTCTCCGCCGGCATCTTAGGCCCGGCGGCCAGCATCGACCTGGGCAGCTCGCCGCTCTCGCACCGCAACTACAGCCACTCGCTGAAGGGCTTCAGCTTCCGGCGCAGCTTCGACGACAAGATCATTGCCCCGCCCTTCTTGTCGCGCGCCCCCGCCTACGGCCACGGCATCCCCTATCCGCACTTTCACGCTGCCCAGTCGGCAACCACCGCGCCGCACCACCTCCACCTGCACCACCACGGAAACGGTACTGCAACAGGATCGGGATCAGGATCGGGGACTGGGTCAATGGCGGGGGCGGGACCGGGATCTGGAAGTGGGGCTGGAGCAGGAGGACTCTATCAGCAGCCCCTCTCGCTGGCCACCATGTCTGCGGCCCTGCCGCTGGCCCCGCTCTACGGATCCCCGCTGTCGCTGCCGCTGACCTCCTCGCAGTCAACCACCAAGCTCTCCTACCGCGACGACTTCCTGCAGCAGATTGGCTACCTGCCCACGACGCGCATCTACAGCACCCCGACCAGCATCGTGGACGAGGACAAGGCCCAGCAGGACTTCCTCTCGCTGTCCCTCTCTCCGCCGCTCAACCGACGCCGGGACATGCCGGCCCTGCGAGGTCCCTTCGTGAGCCTGTGAGTATCCCAGAAATGTCGTTCTTACTAAAACTCAACACTTCCCGGGTTCAGTAACTGCAAATAAGGCTACAGCATAGCTCTTTGTTTTAAAAGCAGTTTACATCGTTGATAATGCTTTATTTAAGCCCAAAGCTATAATTTCGCTTCAATAAGTGTAAACGTTAGGTTTCCTTAACGGGAAGGTAGATTTAGGTTTGGAGGTAATATGCGTGTTTTCACATTACGATTTGAGACAGTCGTTATTATAGTAAAAAAAACAACTGGTTAAAGTTCGTTTATTCTTATTATTATTATAATATGATTTAAATTTTATGACATACTTTTTGTTTTAAAATTTCCCTCTGAATTTGTTTTTTATCAGCAATACCTCTCAAAAAAAAAGTTTTCGTATATATAGATATTGCTTTTTTCCTAAGTAATATTGTCAAGATTTTATTTTTTCACATTACAACAACTCACCAAAAAATAACAAATTGCTAACAATACTGCAAATAAACGAGTCAAAAAGCCTGCAAAATGCGTGTTACATTATGTACGAAAAATATTTTAAACTGATTCAAATGTGATTAAAGAATCTACTTTTTTTCTTAAAATTAAAATATTGTTATAAAGAAAACTGTATGCAAAATATCAAAGAAGAAAACATATTTTTCAGTTGTTATTCACTTCGCTCAAACTATGCAAATCAAGTATACGCTCCGTGTGTTGCACGTTTCTCTCGCTCACAAATGAATTTATCGAACTGTAACGTTCAGCCCCAATATCTGAGTGGATTGGCCGGCCAAGTGTTTGCATTCCCACTGTGCGGGAACAGTGGGCCTTACAAGGTGCCACGAAGCCAAAAGAGGAGCACCTTCGGTCGATCCCTTCCATTCCACTGTGCGCTGACATTCAACTAATGCCCGAATGGGATAACAATCCCACACACCACTTACTTGTGTGGCATAGTTCCCCAATTGTTTTCCCAACCCCACCTCGCTCCACCCACCATTTCCCGCACTCGTAATCCAAAGCCGGTCGCCTCTCGGCACTTCCCCCTTTTGCAGACCGCTCCGTTTGTTTACGTTTTTAATTTGCCCTAACCGCAAGCGGGCACCACGTGACGCCAGTGGCTAACCGACGAGCATCCCCTGACCCATCTGAACCACCGCCCCCTACCTTCTGGCCACTCAAGCCCCCCACAATCCGAAAATCCCGCTGCAATCGAGCGAAACGATGACGTTTCTGTGGCTCTAGATGCTTTGTTTTCGCACTGATTTCTCAGCGATTTATGTGTTCATACGCCTCTTTCGGCGTCTATAAATAATAATATGGAGGCAGCGGCGACTAGTAAGGTGCTTCAGTGGGCGAGGCGTAGGGTGACTCAAGGGGCCAGTGTTTCCCTTTTAAAGGAGTCGTCATAGCTCCACAAGGAACAAAGACTGGCCCAAGTAAGGAGGGGTTTCCAGGGGTTGCGAAAATCAATAAAGTCTGGTTAGTCATTTTATGACCCCCTAAGCATTTGCATACTGACTGCGGGGCGGGGGTGCAGTTGCATTGCAGGGAATTTTTCAATCGCACCCGAACGCTCGAAACTACCTTTCGATGTGGTTTCGAAACCTTCTGGAATTCAAGGTATTTGAAATCCTGCTTGTCGAATACCCCTCGGCAAAGGCGAGCGAAAACTTGGCATGGTGCCTAAGAAATCTCAAAGAACTTGATGATAATGATGTGAAGGGGCTCGCATGTGAGTGTTCATGTGTGGATTCTTTCCTGGTGTGGTGCAGTCCATGACCGGCAAAGGCGCCGAACAGAAACCACAACAACAACGACATCAACTTGATGAAGTACATTGGATAATGACGCCAGCAGATATACACAGCGAAAACAATTCTTCCGACTTCATAAGAAAAATGTATTTAAAGTACCCTTTGAATAATTTAACAAATTTAAGTTCTTGCGAAAATCTTTTAACAGATACAAACAAAGACATCATTATTATGATGATCAAAAAATCATTTTCAAGTTAGAATGAAGAGGAGTCATTGAAAAAATTCTTGAAAATTATTTTAAAACCGTTTCAAAAACGCTGGAAGCTTTCAAAGCAAATACAATATTTAACCCTAAAATCCTAAATCGTCGAAATGTGTCTTCTCAGTTTCTCTCAATGTATATCGGTGGGCACGGTTTCTAGGTGGTGATCCGCACACACTCACACTCCACGGTGAAAATCGGGGAAGGGTGGGGGAAGGAGGGCGGGCGGGGACTAAACTTAGTTGTGACAAAATAGAAAACACGAACAGAACTGAAATAACAGAAAATACTCGCGCGAGTTGGAAACGGCTGCGCCTTGGCCGCTCAGGAAGAGGCGGCAAAAACAAAAGCGAAAAGCCAAAGCCGTTCGACATTCTCGCGGACGCAACTGAACAAATCGGACGAGCGAGGAAGACACTCGCGCAGATACAAATTGAGATACAGATACTTTTCATAATTCAGATTTTTCCGCTGCGCGATACTTTATTTATTTACCCCGCACGGGCCACGGGCCACTGTTATGTAAGGGGTGTGTGTGCAGGCGTACTGTTTGTGTTTCGACCAAACTCGCTCGGCTGTTCGGTTCCGTGTCCGTGTCGGTGTCCGTGATGCAAGTGGGGGCCTAGAAAAGTCAAGGTCGCCGCCCGCCCACACGCACGCCCACAGCCGCCCCCCGTTACTGCACCCGGGGCCATGAACGCGCGAAAGCCGCGACGGAAATCCAATTGTCGAATCGAGCAGTGAAGCGAGTCTGAAATGGATGGCTGGGGCACGCACCCCCCGCCCGGAGGAGGCCACCTGCCCGCCGGAGGCCAACGCCACGGCGGGAATCGGGTGGCGGGCGGCCCTGATGGACCACTGGTTGGACCTCTACCCCGTCTATCTGGACCGCCTACAGCTCCTCGCATCCCTGGCCGGGAGGCTGCATCTGCTGGGCCGGCTCGTTGTTGAGACCCTCGCCCAGGACCCGATCTTCGTGGCCGTGCTGCAGGGCAGCCTGCTGCTTCTGTTCCTCTACCTGATGCACCTGCTTCGGCTGTGGAGCTGCAGCTCCGTGCCGGAGCCGTCACCGGACGCCACGATCGACGTGGCCAAGGAGCTGAGCCGCGACTTCAACTTCGTCTCCGAGCAGGAGAAGCGCGCCGCCCAGGAAGCGGCCACGGAGGCCCTGCTGGAGGTGGAGGAGAAGAAGCGCCGCAAGCGGTTCACTAAGAAGCGCAATTGCGTCTCCGCCGGACCAATCCTTATCGCCTTGCGGCAGCAGTCCAAGCGGCCGAAGCACCATCGCCACATGGACCTTCTCTTCGAGCCCGTGACCCCCGGGGAGGTGATCCTGGACACCTACCTGCCGCCCCGGGAGCAACCCCTCACGATCAAGCTGCCTCCGCTGGCAGAACCGGTCAAGGAGGAGGAAACGGAAGTGCTCGAGTTTAAGTGGGTTTCGTGGTACCTTAACTAAGTCAGAATGACCTTAGACCTTTTAGTTAACCCTGCTTAGTTTACACTGCTAAGTACCCCAATAATCCTTTAACCTCTAACCCGTTTTCAGATCGGAGCCCCGCGGGACCCTGAGCACTACCGACGAAATCTACCCGGACTCCTCCGACAGCAGCCTTTATGTCTCGGACGAGGAGCAGGAGGACGCCTCCCAGTACTGCCGTGGCGGCTACCACCCAGTGGTCATCGGGGACATCTTCGACAATCGGTTTCGCGTGGTCCGCAAACTGGGCTGGGGTCACTTTTCCACCGTGTGGCTGTGTCGGGATCTCAAGTGAGTGTTGCTAGCAAAGGTTACCCCTAGGTATAATTCATCCAACGCTGCCCGCAGAGACGAGAAGTACGTTGCCCTAAAGGTGGTGAAGAGTGCCCCGCACTACATCGAGACGGCCGCGGACGAGATCCGGCTGCTGGAGGCGATCCGCGACGCGGACCCCATGGACGCCAAGAGGGAGCGGATCGTGCGGCTGATGAACCACTTCACCGTGCGCGGCGTGAACGGGATGCACACGTGCCTGGTATTCGAGGCGCTCGGCTGCAGCCTGTACAAGCTGATCGTGAAGAACAACTACCAGGGCCTGGCCATCGCCCAGGTGCGCAACATCATCCGCCAGGTGCTGGAGGGCCTGGACTACCTGCACAGCAAGTGCAGCATCATCCACACGGACATCAAGCCGGAGAACATCCTGCTGGTGATCGACAACGCCGCCGCGATGAACCAGCAGATCGACGACGAGATCAACAGTCTGCGGGTGAAGGGTGCCGAGTTCCCCGACTCGTACAGTGAGTGTCCAGCCAGATTGGAGCAAGATTGACGTCGGCAAGATTACCTATGCATATTCTCTCTGCAGTTAGCTCCATCGAGAAGCAGACCAAGTCCCGCGCCAAGTGGCCTCTGATCGAGCCGAACGGATCGACCAACACGAACACAAATACCAGCAACAGCACGGCGAACAACTCCAGCTCGTCGACGCCCCTGGCCGCGGTGATCATGTCATCGCTAGACAAGGATGACACCACCACCACCTCCTCCACGCTCAACACCACCTCCTCGCTGGCCTCCAAGTACTCCAGCCTGCTGGGGGACAGCGAGTGCAACGGAGGGCTCGGCGGATCGGCGAACCTGAACAACCGCTACCGAGCGGAGAAGAAAATCACTGCCAAGGTGAGTTCTCTTCCAGGTCGAAGGGCCCGCGGATCCGCAGATCCGTAGGTCCCAACCCATTCGTCCCTGCCCCACACTCTCGAAAGCTCTGGCAAGGATTGCCCGCTGCGGTGTGCATGGAACGCATTTGCACCCTCCATGTTGTGAACCCACCTGCAAGCACTCACTGCACACCAAAGGACACACACCAAGTTCTTATCCTTTTCGTTTTCTTTTATTTCCGCGTTATCATTGTCTTTTGGTTTGACCCCCGAATCAGTCTTCTGGGGATGGCGAGGAGGATCCCGAGTCCGACACGCTGGCTATCGACACGCCCACCGATCTCGACCCGGAGCCCGAGACCGAGCCCGTACTCGAATCTGAACCTGAGACCGTTGCCAATTCGAAAGCGGTTGCAGAGGTAAAGTGGGTTTGGATGTGGGATAGCTGCTTGCTCAGTAGCCCAAACCCTTTAGCCTTTAGCCGTTCGATAACGTGTTTGTTATTGCTTAACTTGTTTGTTACGAGAGAATCCCCCGACTCTGCCGATGCTTACATACTGATTCCGATTATCGCTCTTGAGTTCCCATTTGCTGACCCACACCCACACTGACCCACACGCTTGCTCCCAGAAGGTGAAGCCTGGAACGAAAATACGAATGCTTGATTTACTGTGGGCACTGCCAGCTTTAGATGTTTGTGTAACGAATACTGCTTAACGTTTCTTGTGCTACCCCTTAATTTTATGCATTCTTGGTGTGAATATACAGTTGCGGTCAAAACATTACGAGAAACCTCAAACAATTCATATATAGTCAACTATGGATTTCTTTTGCGGATCTTAACTCTTAAGGGGGATCTAAAATCTAGCATCCACACAGCTACTGTAAATTACTATCAAGACACACTAAAATAATATGGGGCCGTCCATAAACCTCGTGACGCTAATTTTTGGCTTTTTTGACCCCCTCCACCTATGTGACGCATCACATAGGTATGTATAGATACAAATTACAACCTCCTTACAACAAAGCGTGACACTCTGATGAACCCCCCTAGGAGCGTCACGAGGTTTATGGACGGCCCCTATTGTAAAATTATTCTTGCTAAGTAAATATTCTAAAAATATTATTTCTCTATTGGAAGAGAGTTAAAGAGCAATTTAACAACACAATTATCTTGACTTGCAGTGATATTTTGGCCGCAACTGTAAGAATGCCGTGTGTGTAAGCTTAGCTGTTAATGTTCTAGCCAATGCCGTCTTACTATATCTATATGTTATCCAGGCCCGTATCCAGAAATTTGTTTCGGGGGGTGCTCAAGGACAAAAATCAATAAAAAATGTGGACTTATTCGAATAAATTCAATAAATTAAATTAAATTTGGCTTAGTTTCAGTCTACTGATCTATACGTTCCTGTTAGGTCAGGTTTCTTCTACTGAAGACTTTTTAATGAAAAATCTTAAATAGAAAAAATTTTTGAATTTAAAGATTTCGGGGGGTGCCCGGGCCCCCCGGGCACCCCCCCTGGATACGTGCCTGATGTTATCGTTAAGTCTCAAATGGAATGACAAACAACACATTTCATTGGGAAAATATTTAGTGGTAATCACTGTTGGGATTTCGACAGACAATCCCAGCTTTGACATCCACGCTGATTGTGTTTTCGTTATACGCACCGACTAGATAAGCCTACAAATAAGCAAACCAACATTGTGTATTCTTTTTCTTCCTTTCTTTGTGTGAACCAATTTATATGCCGCATTACTCAATACACACAGCTGCCCACCCCGAGCTCCACCAACAACTCCTGTCCTTCCCAGAACACCAACACGATAGCCAAGTCCAAGATCAACGCGAATACTCTTAGCACGTGCACGTCCTTGCCCAACGAATACGGCCTCACCAACACGAACACCAGTTACGAAACGACCTCCACTTCCGCCCCTCCAAGTGCCACTCCCTCCTCCGTCTCCGTCTCTATCTCCGCCTCCGCCTTTGCCACGCCCCCCCAGCACGTGCACGCCCTCGTTCACGCAAATAGCGCCAACTGCAACAGCTCCAACTACCAGTACATCCTGTACAACAACAGCCGCAAGCACTGAGCTCTATAATGGCGATCATACAACAACAAGCACATCAACATCAACAACAACAACAACCAACGCGATGTCCTTAGCGACAACAACCACAATGACAACGACAACAGCAATCGCAAAACTAAATGTCAATGCCAATGCCATTCCTTCGCAGAACCAGAGTCAGAGTAGCCAGAACAACACGTACACGATCCAGTCGCTGATCAACAACAGCAACGTCCGGGTGAAGATCGCCGACTTGGGCAATGCCTGCTACGACGTGAGTATCCTGATTCCCGATATCCTGTACAATAGTTTCTACCTCTCTAAACAAATCAAAAATGAAAAAAGTTTCTTAAGCAGCTTGCATCTATCCCTGTGAGACCATTGTTATCTTTAATCTTAAGAGAAGTTTTCCCAATGTGCATTAACAAAACTAGAACATTAGAACACTTTTTTTATTTTAATAACTCAAAATCTCTTACATTGTGATTCGTGTTGAATGAAATAGGAAAATTTTTTTATTGTGGACTAAGCTTGGCTTAGACGGCAATAGGTTTTGGGATAGTAAACAGTATTTACTATTTTGGGAGTATCCACTATTCTCGTGGTTGTGCAAACAAGTTTTTAAATCGAAAAGACATTTAAGCCGTTTTCTGTTGTTTATATTAAATCGTTTTCATTAAATATATGGTTGTTAAATGAATTAAACTTTAATATTTATATAATATTTAAAATTTAATATTCCCTTTTTTTTATATTTAAAAATATCAATTTTCATGGTTTCATTTTCGTTCTCAGTACCATCACTTCACCGAGGACATCCAGACGCGCCAGTATCGATCGATCGAGGTGTTGCTGGGAGCGCCGTACAATTATACCGCCGACATTTGGAGCACCGCCTGCCTGGCCTTCGAGTTGGCCACGGGCGACTACCTTTTCGATCCACACGCCGGCGAGTCTTACAGCCGGGACGAGGATCACTTGGCGCACATTGTCGAGCTGCTGGGTTCCATACCGCAGTCCGTGATCCTGCGAGGCAAGCACGGCCTCAAGTACTTCACCAGCTACGGTAGGTCTTCTATCTTAGATCCGATTAAGTGACTGGTGGATAAGAGCTCCTCGGCGTTATCCGATTGCAGGCAGCCTGAGGAACATCACCAAGCTGAAGCCCTGGAGTCTGATGAACGTGCTGGTGGAGAAGTACGACTGGGATCCGGTGGAGGCCAAGAAGTTCTCCGACTTCCTCCTGCCCATGCTCGAGTACAATCCGGTTATTCGCGCCTCGGCAGCGGAGTGCCTGCAGCATCCGTGGCTGGAGCAGGAGGAGTTCGTCTAGAAAATCGGAGTGTCGGGAAATCAGAGAAGCCAGAGAGACAACAGACACAGGCACACTTAATAATACATACATAACATACGTATTTCGTACTCGTATTGTATTTCTAGGCTTAACTTTTATATGCAAACCAATTTGTCATAAAGAGAAGTAATATATGTACGTTAGCAAGGGAGCCCGTTGATGAAAGGTTAGCATTGAAGGACTCGGTACACACCCCTTATACACACACATACGACATGTGGAGAGGACGATCCGCGTGAAATTTTTTAAGCTTTTTAATTTTTGTACTTGAGAGCTTTAACATGTAATTACTAAAGAAGCGATTTTATTTTTAACGACGAAAGCAAGCGCGAGAATTTTCGCATGATGTTTTTCAAGTTTTTATTTCGACAACGTGCATAAGTGTAAACATAATATATATTTTTTATTAACTGAGAAGCAAGTAAAACCAAAACAAAAGACAATGACGACAATTTTTAAGTCAACAGATGCCTAAACTGACTGACTGAAAAGGAAAACATTTTCATGCAAAACCAAGTAAAGCAAACAAAAGAAACAGGCTAAATAAATTATACGAACTAGAAAAATATTCAGCGTCACATAATTAATAATACCTTCTATTAAATTAATAATATGGTATGTGTATAATAAACGAAACCCCAAATGTAGATATCGAGAATGTTAAACACAAATACAGATGAAAATTCAAATATTCACAGCTTTTTAGCAGCGTGTAGTGATTTTGGTACATTTAACCAAAACATATTGTAGATTCTTAAGCCTGATTTGGAGAGAAGCATATTAGAGCAAAATTTTTCATACAAGATTTCGGTTTGCATTATCATCATGGAAAGAAATATTCTCAAAATGTCCCCAGCATCCGGTATAATGAACCTTACCCAGTTCACTTAAAAAATCATGATTTAAGGATTAATCAAGAGTCTTTGTATCGGAATTGAAAGCCCAAACCCGAAATTTAAATACTACCAATGATAATTAACAAGAAATCGCATTACCAATAACGAAAACATATTTTACTACTTGCCTACAAGTATTTGTACACAAGCCTACAACGTAATATTGAACGTGACCAAATAATTTAATATTGAGGAAGATTTTTCCACTAAACACATATTTAATATACACACACATGTGCGCATGTGTCCAAGAAAATGTAACAGAAAGCTAAGCGGGTGAGCTGCACGTTCGAAAGAGTGGGCACATATTTCAATATGGCGAAATAAAGAATATACATACCGATCAAGAGATAGCTTATCAATCTCTAAATTCTTCATCATTTTGGTTTACATAAGCACTTTATTCGAAGTAGTACGAGTATAAAAATGCAGTGTCTAGAATACATTAGGGTATGTTTAACAGTTGTAAAGTATATTAGATAAGCATAGTGATCGACAGTCGACCGGCGAGTAAACTACGTAAGCAATATTCGGAGTACACTAGGGGCACAGAGCGCTGCCGCTTTTAGAGCGCCAGTCCCAAGATCTGTTCCTGCTTGTAAACGCCATGATACGCGTTGCGTATGAGAACGTAGGGGAAGCAGGATTCCAGCAGATCCATTGTGAGGAAGGGCGATTGCTTGACGATCTCGTCGAGCAGCAAGTAGATGGATTCGCGGTTGCGAGTTGCCTCTTTATCGGACTCCTGGCCCAAGCGGAGAAGGGAGGAGCTGGCAAGAGCGAGAAACTCCTTCATGCGGTCTTCCATGTCGCTCTGCCCGCAGATGGTGAACAAGGCTCCGAAGATGTTATTTATGGCCGCCGCCATGCAGTGCGTGTTGTTTGAGTGCCCATCGATGGTGGCCCTGTAGAAGGAGTTCTCGTTCCGGGCCAGTTTTGGAATGGAGACGGCCACAAAGACCATCAGAAGGCAGGCAGTTAGATGCTCACCTTCATCGAATTCTGGCTTCTTTGACTTTAGCGTCGTGGCCAGAGTGGGATCCACTTTGCAAAGCAGACCGGCTGCCGAGGCCATCTCGGAGGCAACGCGGATCTGGTCCCCTCCGGGCAAGTGCTCCTGAAAGTCCTTAACAGAGCTGAGCAGGAAGGGTATGCGCTTGTCAAGTACATCAACGAGAGCCTCGTGCACCAAATTGCGGAAGCATATAATCACCCCAATGATCGTCATACGCTGCAGCACGCGGTCCACGTCCTGCAGTCGCTTAAATTGCTCTTTCATCACTTCAGGTTTATCAAAGCTGGTGCGCAGTGTGATAAGCACTTCCTTGTTGGTGCCTACCAGCGACTTCAGCTCCTGCACCTGATTGGCTATGTGCCACATTAGGGTTTCGTTCAGCGTTTTGATACCATAAGGTCCCACAAGTTCTGCTAGTGCTCGAAGCTCGTTAAGATCAGAAAATTCCTGCGGGTTGAAAGGAACCCAGCCTTCTGGAGAGATGGGTACAAATGCCTTTTGGTTGATGGAGAACACGATGTTGCCGGCCGATACTCGCCTCAGTAAAACCTCACTATACCAGGTGTTGTACAAAGCGGCGATAGTCTTTTCGCCATGAGAGTCCAGGGCCTGCGTTTGCTGTAACAAGCAATTGTTGAAGACTCGTGTTATGTCTATGTGCACGTAGTTTTCCACGGTCTGCAGCACATTCATGTAGGCTCGAACGCTGGCCAGCAGCTCCGAAGGCTTGGCGATCTCCATTGTCTCCTGGTTAAACATGACCATGCCTACAAGATCCCGGGAGAAGCGGTGCTCCAGGTTCTGGCAGAGATACTCGCGAGGGGCGAACGCAAACTCCCACACGTTGACAGTGGGACAATAGTTGATAGCGAAACAGAGCTCCGTTAAGGCCATGTGCAACTTGTCCATGGTCGTTAGATCCTCCCGCGTCTTTCGGTAAGACTCGTCACCCGGCTTACGAATGTCGTCGAAATGCTTTGACTTTGACTTGTCCTTCTTCTTGCGGGCGGACTGGACGGACAAGATCTTAGCACAGTGCTTAGGTAAGAGAGCGTCTGCCATAGTGCATTGTTCGTCGCAAATTGTGGTTATAATGTTTTTAGCCTCTTTCGCCATTTCCTCAAGGAAGATGTTTACCACGCTGAGAGACCTTTCGCGTATGTGGTGACGCTCCTCCGGGCACATTTCGTGCGTGCAGTTTTGGAAGTGGCTGCAGATCAAGGGGAAGGCAATGATATAGCGGTTTTGGGCGGGGAATTCCAAGCACATGTGGAATTGGTCGTCAAACATTTTGTTATAGAAGCAGAAAATACTAAGATCCGATGTCTCCACCAGTATCTCGTCCAAATTATCAACCACTCGAGTGTGGAACACCATTGAGTCCAAAAGCCGCGCAAGTTCAGCGTGCTCTGTGATCCTGAGGGCAGCCTTTCCAACGCTCATGTACGTTTGTAGTCGGAACCAGTCCAAACGGAACGGTCGGAAGTAGAATAGCTCGTTATCCTCAACCTGCTTTACTGTCAGCCCGGCAGCTGTGTTGTACAACGAGCTAAAGATTATGCTCTCGTCTTCCGGACACATTTGCAGGCTCTGCATTCGTATATTAAGATCCGTGGCATCAAAGCCAGACAGGTACTGCACGTAGTACCGCTGCATAACCTGACTATATTTACGCACCAGTGCGCGCAGTTCCTCCATATGAAAGAGAAGCTCTGGCAGCTGCCTGTCCACCAGATCCTCATTGCTTTTTCCTGTGAAAGAAACAGAGTCAGAAGAGTCGAACAAAAATCAGTCGGTAACGTACCTTTATTCTTGAGCAGAGGCGGATTGTCATTGTGTCTGAGAAGCCAAAGGATTTCATCGCGAGCAAGACAAAGACCGATGAAAATAAATATTGCTTTTGGTCCTAGCAGTCCTGGTTGATCTGTCATTATAAGGGCAAGCTCCTTCAATGCAGTTCGTAGGAATTTGCGTCGCTCGCGATGCATTAAAGCAGCTTTTTGAACCGCGGTGTTGTATGCTTCCTTAACCTCGCCAATGCGCTTGCTGTATCCTTTTATTCCGTCAAAGGTAGACTGAATGTACTGGTGAATTTGCAAAACCTCGTCGCGGAAAAGAGCCACCACCCAACTGGACTCCAAAGCGGACAACCAAATCTTGTTGACCTCCGGGTATTGACCGAGCATTTGGTGGTTCAGCAGCAGGCCAAAAATAATCCAGCGGTCCATTGCCTCCAGGGAGATGTATTCGCATGACATGGTGTCCGTGCGCGCGGCCTTGAGAAGTGTAGCCGGATTGCCAACCAGACTCAGCTTTTGCATCTCCCTCCACTTGTCTGCCGGCAGGTTTCGTAGTCCGTAGATGGAGGTTAACGAGCGCAGCGCGCTTGATAGCAACCGCTGGTGAGGAATAAATTCTTCTGCCAGCTTTTTCAGCGGGACCTCGTAATCGAGAATCATCTGTCCCAAGCGGGGAAATCCCGAGTCAGCCTGGCTGTTCTGCAGCTCGTAGGCTGCATTGTAAAGGCCCAACACTGCCTTGCGGTCTTCGACTCTAGATAGGACAATCATCAGTGACACGTAGGTCACAACCAAGTCCAAGTAATACTTGGTAAGCTCGAAATTAAGTGTAATGTCCAGGTGAATCTGGCAAGCGTCCATAGTGGTGAGTAGCTCGCAGACATTGTCCTTAAAGTCGAGCAGGTCCACGAACGTGTGGTAATAAAGGGACAACGACTTGATGATCTCCGCTTTGATGTGGACGATGGCATTCAGGCCCTTCACATCGATGTTGGGGAAACGCTTCACAATGAACTTAATGCTAGACTCCAAAGACTTTTCGGATAGAAAGCCGGGCTTTGATTTGGTGTCCCCACAGGCCTTCTTTATGTTGTATATCCGCGTTAGAATGCCCAGGCCGCGGTCGTTTAAGATGATTAGTTTCTCAGCTATCTTCTGCTGATTGGGAAAAATTGGGCGTGCCATATCCGCTGAGTGTTGGAGACGAAAGGTGGCTGAAAGCTTGTTTCCAGAGCAGCCCAGAACACTAATGTGCGCTGGGGAACTTGCTTTGAAAGCGATAAGTTGCAATCTCACAACTAACTATGGTTTTCAATTCTTAAATTTGGCAAAAAGAGCGACACAAAAATGTACACATTACTCTTCTTCTTGATTTTGCGTTAGTGATGGACAAGTAAGAACCATAGCCGATAGATCACCATCGATAAAAATAGCTAGAGATTTTGCCAAAGCCAATTTACAGTACAGCCCATGGTACAATTATAATGTATAATTGTACCATGATACAGCCGAGTTATTGAGTTATTGGATTAACTCTAATTTTAAGGTGTTCAACATTAGCCAATGTTTTTTAAAAATATGGAGAAGCTAGTGTCGGCGAGCATGTGCAGCTATCACAAAACTACAGTTGCAAGATCTTTGTTAGTTATTGTTAGTTAAGTCGAATTTTTCTCATAATTTTCTTTTAATTTTAAAGTCATAAGAAAACACCATCTGAAAAAAGGTAGGCCTCTATGAAAAAAGAAACGGGCGTTATAATTTTGACCCGTTGTTTTATTCGATCTCCTCTGCTAGCTATATTAATGCTGACTGCAGCGGGTTTAGGTGCGGCGAATCTGAGCCCGCGCCTAGGGCATAGCGCTTGTAAATTTAAAAGAGTATTGCTTGAAAAATACCATAACAGCACTATTAAATTAAGATAATCATTCAAAGACTTTGCAGTTTTACTATTGCTATTACTTTCTTCCCAAATGTTACCAAACGTTGGCTAACGCCGGCTAACGCCGGCTAATCTCTGATCAAGAAAACTTTACGGGGTCTAACGTAGCATTGCAAACATTTGAATTTAAAAAACATTCACCAATTTCAAAATTTATTGTTTTTCTCGCAGCAATACAGTCGATCGAGTTTATAAAATTTATTTCGTTTTCTTGAAAATTTGATATTTTTATACAGTTGCAACAATTTTAAATAAACTATTGCACATATGTAACTGCACAGGTCAATAAACTTACGCGTCACGGATGTCTGTTTTGTAAATTGAAAAAATTGTTATAGGTAATTTAAGTAATGTACATATAACGGAATGTATACTTTTCTGGCTCATCAAATTGGAGTCTTTTGATTTTTAGTGGTGGTTCTGATAAATGAAAAGACACAAACATACATAAGTTGTTTAGTTTTCTTAAAAGTTCCTTTTTTTTTGTTGTTGAACCATCTAAGGTAAATAGGTGGTGCCCGCAATCATAAATAAGCAGCCAATATGAATCTACAATGTTCTAAGTAACCGGCTATAGCGTTCTGATTTAATTTTTATTTAGAACACTTAAATATTTCACACTGGAACTCAAATTTGGAGAATTGCCAAGGCTTTTCTTGTAGAAGATTAATTTTCTGTAAATCATCACATACAGTTCGTTTCATTTGGATAGGACACCTAACAACTTTTGTGGTTGATCGCTCGTAGCAAAGACAAAAATCATCGAAATCTATAATTTTTTTTTTAGTTATTATCTCTATTCTATTGTGATTCTAAAATGCAGTTACATTTTTTCATTTTCATAGGACACTTCATAAATTTTCAACAAATTTTTATTTTAACCAAAAATTTATAACTAATTAATAGTTGGTGCACTTGCCATTGCCTTTTAACACTTGAATAATTTCATTTTTCATTGAATACGCTAACTTTTTATACCCTTGCAGAGCAAAGGGTATTATAATTTCAGTCAGAAGTTTGCAACGCAGTGAAGGAGGCACCTCAGACCCTATAAAGTATATATATTCTTGATCAGCATCACGATCTGAATCGAAATCCGTCTGTACGTCTGTCCGTCTGTCTGTCTGTCCGTCTCTCAGTTTTGAAGCTATCTTGCTGAAACTTTCCCAAAAGTTGTGTAGTTATTGCACGCAGTATATAAGTCGGAACGAGCCGGATCGGCTATATCGGATAGCTCCCATACGAGAGATTGAAAAAAAAAAATCTCACTCCGTTGTTTTTGATCAGATCGACTTGATTTCTTCCAGATGGCGTTTTATAACTACTATTGAATTTCGGTTTAAATTTTATCGAAATCGAATAACTCTATCATATAGCTGCCATAAGAGAGACCAAAAAATATATAGAGAAGTAATGGAAATTAATTGATAACGTCATTGTTTTTCATCACACGACTATGATTTTTTGAGTATGAAGTTTTTTAACTAGCCTTGATTTATAAAAAAAAATTCATAAAAATCGGACAACTATATCATATAGCTGCCATAGGAAAGATCGAAAAATCTGTATAGAATTAACGGAAATAAAATGATAACATCGTTATTTCTCATCAGAAGAAGATTTTTGGAATATAAAGTTTTCTAACGACTCTTGAATAACAAATCAAATTTCATCAAAATCGGACGACTATATCATATAGCTGCCATATGAACAATAGTGAAAAATATGGAAAATTAATAGAAATGTTGTTTAGCCTTTATGTATTCTGTTCGAATTATTTGCGGACTGCAAGGGTATATAAGCTTCGGCTTGCCGAAGCTAGCTTCCTTTCTTGTTTTTTTTTTTTAAATTGGCGTCCAATGAATCCTAATCTTGTTTTATGGCGCGTTTTAAATGCATTGGGCAGTCAAATTGCCTTTAATTTTTTTGTTCTAAATATGATCCCCCATATGTTTTCTATGGAATTAAGATCAGGGGAACATGGTGGCCACTTCAGTTCCTCGTCGGAACACGCCTCCAAGAGGAGCGTGGTCTAGGGGCTCACGTGTATTGGAGCATTATCTTGTTGAAATAAAAGCTGCCTGCCGATGGACCTCTGTGATTCTGAGAACCCTTGCCATTTTTGACAACACCAAGTGCTGGCAAGTGTGTAAAGTAAGCCAAATGGTAGTTTTAGACCCTTTGTTGCCCTCATAATGAGCCAAACCGGCGCAGGACATGGTTTAATTGGAGCCCTTTTTCGCTATAAGCTATAACTTTGTTTTTTGGACCCTTTTATAATTTTTTTTCTTATTTTTCTTTATCTACCAAAAATTGGCATACAACATTTCACGATCTGTTTATTTAAGTGGAGATTTAGCACACATTAAGGCCTGAGTCCAAATAAGCACAAATTTTCATTATTCATTCCGTTTTTCCATATTTATCCATATTTATAATATCACTAGAGAGAAAAAAAAAACGTTTTAAACAAACTGCGCAGTGCGCACTGTACACACGTGATTACAACTGTCTTATCCAAAGGAAACTATTTTCAGCATGCAAATAAACATGCAGCAGTGCAAAAACTTAAATAAAAAAAAAGTGTGTGCGTACAAAGTACACATGTCAGAAGTGAAACTTCTTTACGGTCTTATTTTTCGCAAAATGATCTACATGCAACTTTCCAGAAATTGGTTAAATAAATTAAATAAATTAGATAAAGTTTTAACAAAAGGATTTTATTATCATATACATGAATACAAATAATACATTATTTCACTTTTTGCTAGCAAGATTATAACAGCATTTCATTAATTATAATAGAATTATTACTATCATTGTCATCGTTATCATCGTTATTATATAATTTTGTAATTAATGGCTTATGGTAACTGAAATATGAAATATATGGTTTACATTCCACGAAATTTTGTGAGCGAGTAAAAACTCCATCAATTGTAGTGCCTGATCTTGTGGTTGACGTTTGAGGACTGTTTTTCATGGATAAATTTAATTTATCTTTCAGAAACTCAACTAGCTTCAAAGATTTTTCCGATGCAAAATTGACATTAAAATCTCCACTTAAAATCATCGGTATTTTATCATTATTGTTACCGAGTAAAGAGGCACCTTCACTTGTGTACGGCAACAATGAATGGTGAAGAAAATTAATAATATCGTCCAACTTCTGATTAGGAGATATATAGAGTGCAACAATCAAAATTTTTATACCATTTTCCATTTGGCATTGAGCCATACATAAATCACCAACTGCTGTTGCTAGTGACCCATGAAAGTCAGGAGAAGAAACAGAAAAATCTATCGATGAAGTCACAACGTTAGCAACATCATTAGAATTATGATATATTCCTACACCTCCTGCTCTCGTGCTCAGCCGTTTAAATTTGGCGATGCATTTGAAATTAGTGATGTTTACTTCAATGTCATTGTTTAGCCATGTTTCAGATAGAACTAAAACATTTGAATTTTTCACAACTGAATCTTCCAGGTCATGTATATGAGCTCTAAGACTTTGACAATTGAAAGTAAAAAGTGACAAACCTCTTCTTTTGTTTATGAACTTAATCAAATGTTCATTTATAGTTTCTACTTTATTCAGAGACAATCGTTTAACCCTTTATATGGCCGCGATGCATATCTGCAACATACCGTTCAAATTCATTTATTTTTCAACGGGCGTTGCAAAACTGTCTGAAATCTTTTTGATGCAGTTCAGAAACTTTCGTTTTTTATATAACAAGTGTTAGTCAGTCAGAATTCTGCCCAATACTCAAAAGCTGATTACTTTTCTCGCCAATTTGGTAAATGTGGAAATCTGAATTGGTTGTGCAGTTTCTCATCCAAATATAAATAACAAAAAAAAATGTGTAGTTGATTTAATTTATATTTTTAAACAAGTAAATATTATATTTAGCTATATCTTGTCGAGTTTTTGTGTTTGTTGCATTATAATACGAATAAATCAACAATTTCGCTTTGTTGCAGATATGCATCAAAGTAGCTTAACACATAAAAATATACTGCAAATATACGAACTTCACTGGATTCTCCCAAACGGAGTGCGAAAAATGTGTATTTTTTTTATGTTTTAATAAAAGAAATAATTGCTTTAAAAAATTTAATTTAAATTGACATATTTAAAATATAAATTACTATATTTTAATATTGAATGAATGTTATTATCTTTCTAAAACACATATTAAAAAATTTTTCCTTTTAAGACCTTTTGATGCAGAAATGCATCACACCCCTTTTGTAAAAAAATAAGGTAAAACCAAAAAAAATTAAAAAACTAAAAAGAAGTGTATTTTTTATTTTCACTTATCTACCAAACAAAAAAAAAATCAAGAAAATCGGAGTTATTGCCATATAAAGGGTTAAATTCGGCTTGTAAATCGATGGTGGACGTTGACGTTCTTCGACCATGATAAAATGTTTTGTCATTATTTGGAGTCGTTATATACAATCCTTCAATACTCGTAACACGGGATTAAGCAACATATAGCAACGATTGGCTGTGATGTTTCTCATATTCATAAACAATTTCCGGAAATGTGCTGCCTTGTGATTATTCATAGTAGTAGCACAAGCACAAACCAACGGAATATGAGTACGTTTAACAAGTATAGTTTTGTTATTATTGAGCGGAATTGTAGAAGATCTTTGTACAATTGGTACAGCCATTCGACTGACATTATTTTCTGCTGCGTGACCCGCTGCTTTACGTCTCAATTTTTCACCAATTCGAGGTAATGCTGGAAATTCAAGCCATGCTATTTTAACTACTCCATCGATATCGTTTTCTGCATGAACTAACTTCCCAACAGCACCATTTGCTAATCCGTCAGATACGTCAATGTTAGTAGTAATCATGTAATAATCATGTAATAAATATTTATTACAAATGTTGTTAGGTAAGGCAATCCATTTGTACCAATTAAGGACATTTTATGTAGTTTTTGATGTACAGAAATCTCTTGTTCCTTGGAAGTACATCCACTATAAACATCTTTTGCAGTAGAAACTATTTTTTCTGAAAAGGAGTTCAATATTTGATTATTATACTCAGTGACTGCGTGATTTGTATTAAATAATCGAATACCTTGAGGACACTTAGTTGCAGCTTCTTCTACAGAATAAAAACGAGATTCAATAACAGATATTTCAATTTCATCAAGACGTTCACCATTCCCAATTTTTGTAAGTATTGACGAAAACTGTTGATTGGCTTGACGCATAACTTGATCTAGTTCATAAAACTTAAGATTTCGCCATAATATTGGTCCAACAATAGTCTGTTTAGGTTGCTTGTAGATAGGAGTAGCGCGAACTGGAGGTAATTGACGTAAGTCTCCGATAAAAATAATATCTAATCCTCCGAAGTTCGATTGAAAGTTACCAGTGATTTGTTTTAATCTCGAATCAATTTTTATCAATAATTGTGCGCTGATCATGCTTATCTCATCAATAATAATAACTTTAACATATTTAAACAGGGGCGGATTAAGACAATTTGCCGCCCTAGGCAGTTTTGATTTTGCCGCCCTAGACTGCAGCCTAATTTTCAAAAGTAGTATCGGGTGTTTTTTTTAGAAGTATAGAACTTTAAGTTGCAATGAAACCACGATGGATTATTCGATTGACATGAATTTTTTTTTATTCGAAAGATAATCTTGTGGCAATTCATTTTATATATAATTTCTGGCATATGACCGCCACGGCTGGCTTGGATGTCGATCGATTTATTGAAAGACACGTTTGGTGAACGCCTAATTTCACGTTTTGGACCTGTGCATTGGCCTCCAAGATCTTGTGACTTAACACCCCTAGACTAATTTCTGTGGGGCTATGTAAAGTCATTGGTCTATGCGGATAAGCCACAAACGCTTGACCATTTGGAAGACAACATTCGCCGTGTTATTGCCGATATACGGCCGCAAATGTTGGGAAAAGTCATCAAAATTGGACTCCAGATTGGACTACATCTGAGCCAGCCGTGGCGGTCATATGCCAGAAATCATATATAAAATGAATTGCCACAAGATTATCTTTCGAATAAAAAAAAATTCATGTCAATCGAATAATCCATCGTGGATATTTTATGTAGTGTTAACAGTCGAAATTTGCCGCCCCTAAAAATTTGCCGCCCTAGGCAGCTGCCTATGTTGCCTATATGGTAAATCCGCCACTGTATTTAAACAATGTTCTATATTGCTGGGCAGTTTCGTTACTTAAAGGAAGCAACCTTGATAATAATATTTTTAAAGCTGTATGAACAGTTGTTCCTGCGATCGCCACTGCAGCTTTACCCGTTGAAGCACAAGTTATATATGCATTACAGTATCCGTCATTGTCAGTGTAACGATTATAAATTTCCATCAATAGTTTAATTACGAATGTTTTGCCGCATCCAGCAGGGCCTGTAAAAAATATTTGAAATGGATCATTATCTGATGATAGAAGATGATAAATAACATGAAGCAATAATCTTTTTTGTTTTTCATTAGCCATTCTCATCAAATGAAAAAAATCCTCGTTGGCCATTAAATTTTCCCTTCTTTTTGCAATAATTCCCAATTTGTGTAACGTCGCTAAACGAATATCATCATTAACGATGGCATCTGGATTGCCATATAAATGCTGAAATGGATTTTGCTCAGCAATAATATTTTCTTCCGGTTCGTTATCATCATCAATTTCGTCCTCACGACACAAATCACGACAAATCTCTATAGTTTTAAGAATATCTAAGCTCGATTCAAATTCTTGTCTGCGTTGTAAAATCAAATTTTCATTAGTAGTATAAATTTCAATAAACTTCATTTCAGCTAAAATTTCTTTATCTTCACTCCTAAACGGAATATGTAAAGTTACCATTTCCCGTTTATAATCTGACAAATTTTGAGACATGTTATAATTGCGATAACGAATTATTCGAGGTTTTTGCCGTTTTGTAACTTTTCCATCGCCGTGAACATTATAATAAGCAACAAATTGAGCAAGCGTGACATCACTTAATTCTTCAGGCCTTTTTTGATACTTTGTGAACCAGTTCTCTTTCCAAATGTCAGTTGAGTCATCATCAATTCCCATTTAATCTAGCTCTTTAGTGGTTTTCTTGAGTTTTTGCCGATCCTCCGGCCACATCGTTGGAATATAAACTATAACAGAAGAGCTTTTCGACATCGGCTCTCTTAAAAGGTACCTGGCAGCTTCTTGACTTGGTATTTCAACACTGTTCAGCATATCAACTCCCAATTTTCTTGTGATTTCCACTACATCGAACTCCGGGTGCTCATGAATATCGCAATTATACATACATACATTTGATGATTTCACGTTGGAAATTACTTATTCCGCGATTTGTTTTATTGACATACTCAGCTACATACTGGGCACACGAATATTCCTCTGTTATGAACTGGATGTCCATATTCGATTTTGCCAGATTTAGAATAAACGGATTAAATGGATTATGCCATTTCTCACTGGGTTCGCGTTTCATGAAAACTCTTGGTCTCTTGATTCCCGCTCGAAGTATATTGCGATATTCATCATCTGATGAAATATTATTTTGCTGACAAAAACTATCAATATCCTCATAATCATTATTTTCGAGATTAATTCGAATATTTCTGTAAGATTGCAAATAACGATTAAAACCAATTTCACCCTGTTGCATTGGTAATAAATTTTCTGTAGAACGAGAAGGCAAGAATGGAGCTTCAAAACGACATTGTTGAGGTCTATGAGCTGATATTCTTTTGTAACAGGTGAATGAGTGCTTGTGTGTTTGTAATTTTATATGACCTGATGCTTCTTTCGATAAAATCGAAATAAGATGATTAATCAATGAAATTGCACCCATTTTATTCTCGCCTAAAGCATCATTCGGTGCATTTGCAAGCCATAGTAATATATGAGCATGTGGACTACCTCGGTGCTGAAATTCAATTCTTTTGAAATAATGCATCACATAATATTTTCCAAACGGACTTTTCTTAGGAGACTGTAAAATATTCAAGAGTATGTTTATCAGTTTATTAAAATAGATTGCGCACGTTACAGAATCTTCATTAATCAGAGTAACTTTTTCAAGATAGTGTAATTCTTCAGCATCTTTTTTTGATAATTCGGCTGCATTATTTTTGAACTTATATAATAATTGAAGTAAATCAGTCCATCCAATTTCATTTGCACTAATAGTGAGAAATATTGTTGGTTTACCTAGCTGTCTAATCATAGCAAATAAATTTTTCTTTTTTTCAGCCCAGTACCATAATGAATTGGGAATTGATTTCAGAAATGCAAAGTTAGTTTCAATGCAATTGTTGACATAATCTTCATTTTCAATTTGTTCACGTGTGATTTTTGTGTCTTTTCCTATATGTTTAAAGGCAACTGTTAATGAATCACGAACTCGAAGTCTCATTATTTTCATTGCCACGTATAATACATGATATGGAGTAACAGCACGACGGTCTGAGCGTCTAAGTTCACTTGAAGCCATTGTATATGGTGTTACTCGTACTCCATCACGAAACGTACGAAATTGGCCCAAATAAATTGCAGGGAAAGACAATTCCTCCGCGTGTTCATCAAAAAGTAAACTATGTGGAAGAATTTTTTCTCCTGGGGCTATTCTTAAATATTTTTCTTCATTCCACATCAATGTTTGCTGCTGAGATACCAGACTTTCTTCGATTGGTACGTGTTCGCTTATTTCATCTTGAGGTATAGTATCAATGTCATTGTTTTCGAAAAAGGATTCATCAATTTTGATATCATACATAGTATATAATGGCGACTTTACTAAAAATTGAAGCCAAATAAATCTTTATTGTACCTTTGTTTATTATACCATGCAAATAACTCGATTTATGGATTTTCTTACGTTTAATGTGCACATTGATACAGTGATCATCAGATAAACTTCTGGGGAGAGTACGAACCATTGAATCAATAGACACTGGAACATTGATTATTTGTCCATAAATCAATCGTTCAGATACTAAGTCTAATGGCGGTAAATAATCGGGCTTCTTTCGAAATTTGAATCCATTATAAGAAGCCATCACAGGAATACTATTATTATTTAAAGATGCTACACAGGTATTACAGAGTGCAACGTCCTTTATATCAAGATGAGGAACTATTGTTTTCAAGATTGCATCATGTTTAACCCGCATCCGTCCCTTAAAATCTGTAACATATTAGCTCCTATGTATCAATTTGATACAGGTTTAAAAACATGCTTAAATTAAGTGAAATTAAAAAAGAAACCATTTTTTTATATATTTATTATGAACGTTTGTTTATTTTGAACAAAAAATGCTTTACATGAATTTTTTAAAGACAAAACTTGAGCCAAAATCACAAATCCATATAAGAATCCATTTCGCCTAAGTCTACATCTTAAGTTAAAGTTTGTATCAAATTGATACATAGAACGGATGCGGGTTAAGGGATGCAGATCGTAAGTCATCTTTAAACCACAGTCTTTCACAAACTGAGCACACATAACCAAATGAATTTCGAACAAATTTCTTTTGAAATTCATCATGAGCCAGATGATGACGATGAAAATCCGTGTAAGCAAGATGATTAGTTTCATGCTCTGATAGTTGTGTGTGTTCTTGGATCTTCGCTTTCTTTCGGGCTCTATACTCTTTTGCCCGCTCTGCGTCTGATTTATTATGTTTTCAATAATTCACTTTTTTTTCACTTTTGGAGTTTCCTTTTTTTCCGAGCTCTATGCTCTGCCATTCGCTGTGCAGCTCTTTTTGGATAATCACGGTGGATTGAAGCAAGATCACTCGTTGTTTCAGGTTCATTCACACAGTCATGGCTTGTGGTAGCGATTGATGCACTGAGTTGTGAATAATGCCGATGATGGACATCAACTTGTACAGTAATTGCATTTGAAGATTCCTCAGGATTTGTGGATTCTTCCATAATTGAATCTAAAAAGAACTAATTTATCAATTTTTGAAATAAATCATAATTTTGATCGTAGATAACTGAAAAACTCTTACCTGCTGATTGGATCTTCGCTTTTTTTCGGGCTCTATACTCTTTTGCACGCTCTGCGTCTGATTTCTTATGTTTTCGTTGATTCACTATTGGAGTTTTCTTGTTTTTCCGAGCTCTATACTCTGCCATTCGCTGTGCAGCTCTTTTTGGATAATCACGGTGGATTAAAGGAAGACCACTCGTTGTTTCAGGTTCATTCACACAGTCATGGCTTGTGGTAGCGATTGATGCACTGAGTTGTGAATAATGCCGATGATGGACATCAACTTGTACAGTAATTGCATTTGAAGATTCCTCAGGATTTGTGGATTCTTCCATAATTGAATCTAAAAAGAACTAATTTATCAATTTTTGAAATAAATCATAATTTTGATCGTAGATAACTGAAAAACTCTTACCTGCTGATTGGATCTTCGCTTTTTTTCGGGCTCTATACTCTTTTGCACGCTCTGCGTCTGATTTCTTATGTTTTCGTTGATTCACTATTGGAGTTTTCTTGTTTTTCCGAGCTCTATACTCTGCCATTCGCTGTGCAGCTCTTTTTGGATAATCACGGTGGATTAAAGGAAGACCACTCGTTGTTTCAGGTTCATTCACACAGTCATGGCTTGTGGTAGCGATTGATGCACTGAGTTGTGAATTATGCCGATGATGGACATCAACTTGTGCAGTAATTGCATTTGAAGATTCCTCAGGATTTGTGGATTCTTCCATAATAAAATTTAAAAATAATTAATTAATCAATTTACGAAATAAATCATAATTTTGATCGTAGATAACTGAAAAACTCTTACCTGCTGATTGGATCTTCGCTTTTTTTCGGGCTCTATACTCTTTTGCACGCTCTGCGTCTGAACAATCACGGTGGATTGAAGGAAGATCAATCGTTGTTTCAGGTTCATTCACACAGGCATGGCTTGTGGTAGCGATTGATGCACTGAGTTGTGAATTATGCCGATGATGGACATCAACTTGTGCAGTAATTGCATTTGAAGATTCCTCAGGATTTGTGGATTCTTCCATAATAAAATTTAAAAAGAATTAATTAATCAATTTACGAAATAAATCATAATTTTGATCGTAGATAACTGAAAAGCTCTTACCTGCTGATTTGATCTTCGCTTTTTTTCGGGCTCTATACTCTTTTGCACGCTCTGCGTCTGATTTCTTATGTTTTCGTTGATTCACTATTGGAGTTTTCTTGTTTTTCCGAGCTCTATACTCTGCCATTCGCTGTGCAGCTCTTTTTGGATAATCACGGTGGATTAAAGGAAGACCACTCGTTGTTTCAGGTTCATTTACACAGTCATGGCTTGTGGTAGCGATTGATGCACTGTGTTGTGAATAATGCCGATGATGGACATCAACTTGTACAGGAATTGCATTTGAAGATTCCTCAGGATTTGTAGATTCTTCCATTATTGAATCTAAATCGAATTAATTAATCAATTTACGAAATAAATCATAATTTTGATCGTAGATAACTGAAAAACTCTTACCTGCTGATTGGATCTTCGCTTTTTTTCGGGCTCTATTCTCTTGTGCACGCTCTGCGTCTGAACAATCACGGTGGATTGAAGGAAGATCAATCGTTGTCTCAGGTTCATTCACACAGGCATGGCTTGTGGTAGCGATTGATGCACTGTGTTCAACACTCAAAACAAAAACGAAAAAAAAAAAAATTAAAATTATTTTTTATTTAATTGGTAAAAATTTTTGATGCGCTTACCCAATTTGTTTACCAGCCGAGTAGTGATGAGTAAAGAGGAAATATCGAACATCGATGTTTGAAAACTTCGATGTTTCCGAGTTTTGGAAAACATCGATGTATCGATACATCGTCGATGTTTTTTCCAGCTCTACGCCAAAGTGCACGTTGTGTGCCACGCAAAATCGCCGCAAATTGGTTTGATTTCTGATATAAAAGGTGGGAATCAGCACTTTGACTTAATACATTATTCAACGGTGCACTTTGACAGCCATGGGAAAGAGACTGGAGCGGAGCGACGTTTGCCGTGTGCCGGAGAACATTAATTTCCCGGCGGAGGAGGAAAACGTATTGCAGAAGTGGCGAGACGAAAATATCTTTGAAAAGTGCAGCCAGCTGTCAAAGGGAAAGCCCAAGTAAGTGCCACAACCGATTGCATCAGCCATTGCTAATCCGAACATTTGTCGCCCAGATACACATTTTACGATGGACCGCCATTCGCCACTGGGCTGCCTCACTACGGACACATCCTGGCGGGCACCATCAAGGATGTGGTAACCCGGTACGCTTACCAGCAGGGATACCATGTTGATCGACGCTTCGGCTGGGATTGCCACGGCCTGCCCGTCGAGTTTGAGATCGACAAATTGCTAAACATTCGCGGCCCCGAAGACGTGGCTAAGATGGGCATCGCTGCCTACAACGCCGAGTGCCGGAAGATCGTTATGCGGTACGCGGATGAGTGGGAGAACGTGGTGACGCGCGTCGGCCGCTGGATCGACTTTAAGAACGACTACAAGACCTTGTACCCATGGTACATGGAGTCCATCTGGTGGATCTTCAAACAACTCTTCGACAAGGGGCTAGTCTACCAGGGCGTGAAGGTGATGCCCTATTCCACTGCCTGCACAACATCGCTGTCTAACTTTGAGGCTAACCAAAACTATAAGGAGGTCGTGGACCCTTGTGTAGTGGTTGCCCTTGAATCCGTTTCGTTGCCCAATACTTACTTCTTGGTGTGGACCACCACGCCCTGGACGCTGCCCTCCAATTTTGCGTGCTGTGTGCATCCCAAGATGACCTACGTAAAGGTGCGCGACGTTAAGAGCGACCGCCTCTTTGTCCTTGCCGAGTCGCGTCTCTCCTACGTGTACAAATCTGAGGCAGAGTACGAGATTAAGGACAAGTTTGCTGGCAAGACCCTTAAGGATCTACACTATAAGCCGCTGTTTCCGTACTTCGCGAAACGCGGCTCCGAGGTGAAGGCGTACCGCGTATTGGTCGATGAGTACGTCACCGAGGATTCCGGCACGGGCATCGTTCACAATGCTCCGTACTTCGGCGAGGACGATTATCGCGTATGCCTGGCGGCGGGACTGATAACAAAGTCCAGCGAAGTTCTCTGTCCAGTTGACGAAGCGGGACGGTTCACTAAGGAGGCCATCGATTTCGAGGGTCAGTACGTTAAGGATGCTGACAAGCAGATCATGGCCGCTTTAAAAGCACGAGGAAACCTTGTGTCTAGTGGCCAGGTGAAGCACAGCTACCCTTTCTGCTGGCGTTCAGACACGCCGCTAATCTATAAGGCCGTGCCATCATGGTTTGTACGTGTCGAGCACATGTCTAAAAATTTGCTAGACTCTAGTTCGCAAACGTACTGGGTTCCGGATTTCGTCAAGGAAAAACGATTTGGGAATTGGCTTAAAGAAGCTAGAGATTGGGCTGTGAGTATATTCAAGTAAGCTCTTTTTGTTGTCTTACTAAATTCCGCATGTTTTTTAGATCTCTCGGAATCGCTACTGGGGCACGCCCATTCCTATCTGGAGGTCGCCTAGTGGAGATGAGACCGTGGTCATTGGCAGCATCAAGCAGTTGGCTGAACTATCCGGTGTCCAAGTGGAGGATTTGCATCGCGAAAGCCTTGATCACATCGAGATACCGTCGGCGGTGCCCGGAAACCCTCCATTACGCCGCATAGCTCCTGTTTTCGACTGCTGGTTTGAGTCCGGTTCTATGCCATTCGCACAACAGCACTTTCCATTCGAGAACGAAAAGGACTTCATGAACAATTTCCCAGCCGACTTTATTGCAGAGGGCATAGATCAGACCCGCGGCTGGTTCTACACTCTTCTTGTGATTTCCACAGCTCTGTTTAACAAGGCTCCGTTTAAAAACCTCATTGCTAGTGGGTTGGTTTTGGCCGCTGACGGGCAGAAGATGTCCAAACGCAAGAAGAACTATCCCGATCCCATGGAGGTGGTCCACAAGTACGGAGCAGATGCCCTCCGACTGTATCTTATCAATTCGCCCGTGGTGAGAGCTGAGAGTCTGCGCTTCAAGGAGGAGGGTGTGCGCGACATCATTAAGGATGTGTTTTTGCCCTGGTACAACGCTTACCGTTTCTTGTTGCAAAATATTGTTCGCTACGAGAAGGAGGACTTGGCTGGAAAGGGGCGGTACACCTATGACCGTGAACGCCATTTAAAGAACGTGGATAAGGCCTCTGTTATTGATGTGTGGATTTTGTCTTTCAAAGAGTCCTTGCTGGAGTTCTTTGCCAACGAGATGAAAATGTATCGCCTGTACACCGTTGTGCCCAGACTAACTAAGTTCATTGATCAACTAACCAACTGGTAAGTGCTGTGGTTTTAGGTTCTTCAAGCTTGAGCTAAATGTTACCGATTCTTCTACAGGTATGTGCGACTTAACCGTCGACGCATTAAGGGAGAATTGGGAGCTGACCAGTGCATTCAATCACTGGATACGCTCTATGACGTTCTATACACAATGGTCAAAATGATGGCACCGTTCACACCTTACCTTACGGAGTACATTTTCCAGCGGTTGGTATTGTTCCAGCCAGCGGGTTCCTTGGAACATGCTGACTCAGTTCACTACCAAATGATGCCCGTCAGTCAGAGCAAGTTCATTCGAAGCGACATCGAACGATCGGTGGCCCTGATGCAATCAGTTGTCGAGCTGGGACGCGTCATGCGAGATCGACGAACCTTGCCCGTTAAGTACCCAGTTTCGGAGATCATCGTTATTCACAAAGATGCACAAACCCTGGAGGCTATTAAGAGCTTGCAGGACTTTATTCTCAGCGAACTTAACGTTCGAAAACTCACGCTGAGTTCGGACAAGGAGAAGTATGGTGTCTCATTGAGAGCAGAGCCTGATCACAAGGTTGGTGTTTCTGAAATGGTTTTCCCATGTGAGAAGATAATAATCCGCTCTTTTTTCAGGCGCTTGGTCAGCGGCTTAAAGGCAACTTTAAGGCAGTTATGGCTGCTATTAAGGCGTTGAAGGACGATGAAATCCAGAAGCAAGTGTCACAGGGCTTCTTCCAAATCCTGGATCAAAGAATAGAGCTCGATGAAGTTCGCATCATTTATTGCACCTCTGAGCAGGTGGGAGGTAACTTTGAAGCTCACAGCGATAATGACGTTCTGGTGCTGCTGGACATGACGCCCAATGAGGAGCTGCTTGAAGAGGGGTTAGCTCGGGAGGTTATCAACCGGGTGCAGAAACTGAAGAAAAAGGCACAACTTATTCCGACTGACCCAGTTCTCATCTTCCACGAGCTAATTGCTGATAGTAAGGCTAAGAAGGAGGCCTTGGAGGCTCATGCTCAGCTTACAAAAGTGTTAGCCAGCTACGCCAATATGATCAGGACTGCTGTAAAGTCGGAATTCGCTCCTTACTCGACTGAGAAAGCCGCCAAGAAACGGCTAATTGCTAGCGAGCTCGTTGACCTTAAAGGAGTTGGCTTAAAGTTGACTATCTGCTCTACCGAGGAATTGCAGCTTCCCAGTCTGCCTTGGTTGAATGTAACCTTGGGCGAGGGATTAAATCCACGATTTGGAAACGGCAACAGAGCATCACTATTTCTTCAGCATAACGTGAGCAAGGAAATTATCTCACTGCCTGTGCTTCGCAGCGAGCTGGAGCACTTGTTTGGCCTTTACGGAGTCAACTTCAATATCTATGTTGTAGATCAGCAGAAAAAGGTGACTGAATTAAAGTCCATCGACAAAAACCTCAGTGGCAAATTGTTGGTCCTAACGCGCAGCCAAGACACACTGAAGCAGGCAGCGGGCTATGAAATAGCCCCCGCTCCTTACTCCAAATTCGTTAATCAGCCTTCAGGAAATTCTGTCTTTACTGAAAACCCATTGGGTCGTACCTTATGTTAAACCCTGAACTTTTTGGTATTTATTTGAAAAAGAATCGAAAACAAAATAAACGTTGTCAACTTTTTGAAAAAGTTATAATCCATATTTTACTGGTAGTGATTGCCTTTATATAAATCGTAATAAATAATGTTATGTCTTAAGCTTTCCTTTTATAGAAACGAAATGAACGCAAAAAACTGTCGCAGTGCAAGTGACAAACTGTTACCTATTAACTAAAATTGAGCTGTTTTGCAGCGATGACTATCTAATACAAGGAAGAAAGCTAGCTTCGGCTCGTCGAACCCATGCAGTCATCAAATAAGTCGAACAAAATGCATAAAGGCTAAACAACATCGAAGCTGTGTCGATTTTTCTATGAAGTTTATATATTTTCAACGATTGTTCATGTGGTAGCTATATGACATAGTCGTCCGATTTTTATGAGATTAAATTCGAAATTCGAGAGTGACTAGCAAACTCTATATTCCAAAAATTATCTTTGTCTGATGAAAAACAACAATATAATAATTTTTTTGCCGTATATTCCGTTAGTTCTAAATAGATTTTTCGATCTTTTCTATGACAGCAATATGATATAGATTTTTATGAAATTTAATTCGAAATTCAATAGTAGTGAAAAAACACCATCTGATAGAAATCCAGTCGGTATGACCAAAAACAACGGAGGGATAATTTTTTTTCAATCTTTCGTATGGGAGCTATCCGATATAGTCGTAATCTGGCCCGTTCCGACCTATATACTGTGTGCAGTGGCGTAGATAGCACAGTCATCGCGTAAAAATGTGTGTTTCTTTTTCAATTTTGAGAGTTTTACCATTAATTGCCGTATTGCACATTGAGACAAAATAAATATTGGCGCTTCAAAAATGTCATGCTTACATTAAAACACATGCCTGGAAAAATTCGATTTTATCATCTTATAATTCTCTGACCCAAGGGGGGGGGATTGATTCCCCTGATCCCCCATATCTACGTCACTGACTGTGTGCAATAACTACACAACTTTTGGGAAATTTTCATCGAGATAGCTTTGAAACTGAGAGACTAGTTTACATATTTTTTTTGATTTTGATCGTGATGCTGATTTAAAATATATATACTTTATGGGATGCAAACTTCTGACTGAAATTATAATACCCCCTGCAAGCGTATAAAAAACTGTGACATTCAGAGTAAAATGTGTTTTAATATTCATATGGATATTGATTTTATTGCCATCAACACCTCAGTCCGATATGTGTTGATATGTTTATACTCCCAAGTACTGCTAGATTTCTTCAAAGCGTGACGCTATATTATAAGAGACTGCTTCACCCAAATTTTAAAATAATACACAGGTTGATTTTTTATGTTTTCATTTTTATTGAAATCGCTTTTTACTCGTAATATTATTAGTTATTATATATATTTATATGGATGTATTATCATGTATGTATATCGGCTTGCCATAATTATAGGTATTTTCTGTGTATACAATTGTCCTTTGTTTTCTGCAATCGATTTGTAATAATAGCCTATACCCTCTGCACTTCGTTCGGTATTTTGATGTTTTAAAGACAATTTCGTACATTGAATACAATTATTGGTTGCAATTTATGCATGCTCGAACTGCAGTTGCTCGCCGCAACGACCGGCTGCTTTAAAAAGTGGCGTGTTTTTCTTTTTAATCAGATTCCAAATCCAATCATGATCTCAACTAATTAATTAGGGCAAGCATTTTCCCCTTGCTGGAAATTTACAGTATAAAGTACTCAAAGAACAGAAGGTTTGGGGTACGTAGATTGAAGCACAGTCGAGCTTGACAAAGATTATTTGCAGCCGCTTGGTATTCCATAAATTTTCCTTGTTTCAGTCACAATTATTTGCATTTGCAGTTTTCTTTACGCTGATTTCAATTAATTTTTGTTATATGCTTTTTGGTTAATATAATGCTGCTTAATTTTATTACATACACATTCATATACGGTTTTCTGATTTTTACAATTTTCGTTCTTTTGGAATAAACTAACTCTGTGTAATGACCTGAAAAGTTAGTTTTTTCAAACCCTTACACAGCCCTAGATTCACATTTTGAATAAACGAATTCAGATTATGAAGTATGTTCCTAAATTTAAAGTTTAAGTGTTTATGCATTTTTCATTTATAATTTTATTTAATAAAATTACTAACACTTTAGCTAATTACTACGCAGTTATCGTCTGAACTCTTCTAATCTGCCCTCTCTCTACACAGAATCAATCGCTTATTTTCACTTTAGTTAGGTGCTAATCCTTTCTGTTCTTACGATCTTTGTCTTTAGCCTAATCCTTATGCCTATGTTTAGTTGTATGCGTGGGTGTTTATAATACAAGGTGTGTTCTTTATGGTTATAGGGGGTATGTTTAAGTTCTCCGCAAGACGTTATGCGCACTAAGTTTTATGCTAGTTAATATCTCAATAGTCAATAGTTTAGTTTCAATTATAAATAGATCAATAATAATTATAAACACAAAGTACCGACAAAATGTCAGCCACATAGAAGGGGTCCAGAACGGTTTTTAAAAGCAGCAATCGATCTTGCAGTAATTAAAAAAAAAAAAGAAAAGGAATTTAAAAGACATTAAACTCTATGCGACACTCCCGTGTGGGGTTCATTACTAAAAACAGTATTGCTTTTAAAAATTAACATGGCAAACGGTAAGAACTAAATATTGCAGCATAAAAACTAATCGTAAAGGACTATATTTAAAAAATGAGTAAAGTACATGTGGTTGCTTTTCATTTTCGGTTCAATTGGAGTTAATTCGATTTTTGTTCGTCACACTTCAAGTTGTCAAATGAAATGTTTAGAAATATATATCACAATTTGTAAAAAGGTTTTAATGCATTCTTTCTTTGAATAAATTCAACAGTTAACATTATAAAATGAGTGAAAAGAGTCGGTAGAGTATTGTTTTGCATTGAAGGGGCTGATAAAATTCTTTTTGATTCTTGGCCATCGAAAATAGTAGGACGCTTCTGATAAATTTAAATTCGAGCATTCGGTTCAGACACCTATTTCGCTAAAAAGAGTGCTTTTTGAAAGGATAAATACGCGCTTCTTGGTTAGTAAAAGGATAGAAAAGTATTCGATGTTATATACACAAAGCAATTGGGAAGGGCAAGCAGTAGGCAACATTTCTGTCGCCGTGTGAGAAGGGCTTCGATGGAGTGGGCCGGACATGGGGCCAAGGACTAGGGGCTACTACAGAGAACTTTAATCTTTTTACATTTATTCCGTTTGTAGTTTAACATCTGTACTTATCGTATGCATATTTGCTGTGTAATACTCTTCGTTCGACATCGTAATGCAACTGGCTAATGGGCAGCTCTTGACCAAACTCCCATCCCCGAAGTGGTTCTGTTCACTCGGCTCGATCTGCGCCAATCTAATTCGACCGGCTCGGCCAATGTGCCAATCTATATAACTCCCTATTACTTGCCAGGGCAAGCTGGCTGATCGCGGGGACACTGATTCTGATTAAAAAATTACATTAAACATTACACACATGGACTAAACATACGCCTATTGTTAGCCTAAACTCAACATCAACATACATAGTACTGTTCCTGTGTACATATAAGAAGTTTCTTCGGTTATTCGAGGGTTGCGTTGTGGCTAATACTAAACTTTAAGCATGATTAAAGTTTATATTAATTAGTGTGTTGGATGCTCGCTTTCGTTTTCGTTTGCTTTCTCATTTCTTTTCTTCTGTTTCGAGTTTTGAGTTGTGTCTTCGAGTGTTGTGCTGGGGTTTTTTCTTGTGGTCGCTGTTGCGCATTTCACCTAATTACAAAATCTGCTCGTCCAGTGCCTCGCCGCTGTCCCTCGGCTCCTTCTTGCCCACGGCAATCAGGTAGTCCTCCTGCTCGCCGTACTCCTCTTCGGCCATGTCACTTCCCTCCTGCTCCGGCTCCGGCTCCGGCTCCGCTTCCTTGTCCGCCTCCGCCTTCGCTGCCAGCTGCTCTCTAAACGCCTCCACTCACGCACTCAGCTCGCCGAACTTGAGCTGGCGCCGGTTGGAGGCACTCCGGTGGCTGCTGCCGGTCTTGCGGCGCTTGCGCTTCGCGTCCCGCTGGAAGGCCACGTTGCCGGGGTCGTCGGCCAGCTGCGGATACTTGTGTATGCTGTGGATGTCGATGCCGTTCCAGCCGTCGACGTCGCCGTGCTGGACGAGCTCCTCCTTCTCCTCCTCGGTCCAGTCGCCACGGCCCTGGAAGCCGGCGGCCACTAGCTGCTTCTCCAGCTCCCAGGCCCGCTCCACCGCCCGCTTGTGGGCGTGCTTCAGGATGCGGTGGCGCTCCTGCTCGGGGTCCACGCCGTACTTGATGATGACCACGGCGTCGGGCCCGTGGAGCCGCAGCTCCTTGGCGGCGCTGCCTCCGTGGTCGCTGATCTCGTGGGTTGATATGTTGAACATGCCTCCCAGGCGACGCAGCTCCTCGTTGTCGTCGCGCAGCTTCAGCACGTTGTCCTTCACGAAGTAGAAGACGTCCTGGTCGTGGATGCTGAAGTGCAGGTCGAGGAAGTACGAGTTGTTGAACACGCTGCTCACCACGTCCTGCACCACGCTGTTCGACCCGTCCACCACGCTCACCAGGGCCCTTCCGCCGATCCTCGAGAGCAGCACGCCCTCGCCGAAGACTCCGCGGCGGTAGCTGACTCGCGGCAGCAGGTTGCGCATCTTGGGCTCCATCTTGAGCAGCGGCTTGGGCACGAAGTCAAAGTCGCTGAACTTTTCGCTCGTCTTCTCCACAATGCACTCCAGGCCGGAGATGACGCCGAAGTCGGGTGCCAACGTGTTGGACTTGATGGAGGCCTGCGGCGTGTACTGGGCCAGCTTGGTGTAGCGGCTGCTCTGCATGTTGTCCAGGTCGTAGCCGAAGAGCTGCAGCCAGGCGTCCAGGTCGATCATGTAGTTCTGCGGGCGGTTCGGGTTGACCGGGTCGTTGTTGTGGTAGCGGTAGATGAACACGTCCGTCGGGTGCGACATCTCGGTGGCTAGAGTCTCCCACAGCGGGGTCATCCACTGGCCCACGTGCGGGTCGTACTGCCGCTGCTCGGTGTACACCAGCTTGGTGTGCGGATCGATCAGGCCGCCGTGGAAGTCGACGGGCACGAAGAAGTCCGGCTTGGTGTCCTTGATGACCCGGCCGAAGGGCGTGCGCTTCATCTCCTTGACGACGCCGCCGTTCTGGTCGAAGAAGGCCAGCGGCGAGCCGTTCTGGTCGGTGGCCACGTAGTAGCGCTGCTCCTCGTGCTCCAGCGCGATGAGCATGTCGCGGTCGTCGTAGAAGAGCTTCATCGTGCGGCCCAGCTTGGGGAAGTGCACGTGGGTCACCAGCTGCGGGGTGCGCGGGTTGGCGTAGTAGTACTGGGTGGTGTTGCCCTTGTTGTCGTGCCAGGCGACCAGCCGGCTGCGGTCGTCGTAGTAGTACCAGCTCTGGAAGCGCTCGCGCTCGAAGGCGTGGATCAGCTGGCCGCGGTTGTTGTAGCGGTACTTCTGCTCGCCGCGCCGCACCACGAATCCGCGGGCGTCGTAGTTGTTGAACTCGACGTCGCCCACCTTGATCACGCGGTCCCCGATGTCGTAGCCCAGGTTGAACTTCTCGCCCTGGTCCACCACGCCCACCGTGTTGCCGTTCTCGTCGAACAGGTACTTCCAGTTGCTGGTGCCCAGGACCTCGACCACGTGCCCGTCGGCGTTGTAGTTGATCTTGTCGAAGGCCGTCGAGCGGCCGAACGTCGTCTTCTGCGACTTGATGCGGTTGCGCAGGTCGTAGTCCAGCTCCAGCCGGAACACGTCGCTGTTCTTCACGTTCATCAGTACGCTCTTCACGCGGCCGTGCTGGTCGTAGTCCACGATGGTGAAGAACTGCTTGGCCGAGTCCTGGATCACCGTGCGGTTGAAGGCGTTGCGCGTGATCTTCAGGTCCTGCACCACCTCCAGCTGGCCCAGGTTCTGGCTGTACTTGTAGCGCGTGGTCGGTAGCTCCTTGTCGTCGATGGCCATCTCGATGCCGCTAAGCCGCGCGTTCCCGTCATAGGCGTACTTGTAGTGCGCTGAGGCCAGCGAGTTCTTCGAGCCGAAGCGCAGCTTCTCGTCCTTCAGGATGCCCGCGTGGTACTTGAACTCGCGGCGCAGCTCGAAGCCCGGCTCCTGCACCTCCACGGACTTCACCAGGCTGGTCGTGTCCTGGTAGGTGTAGTGCGTGCTGGACAGTCCGGCCAGGATCGTCTCCAGTCGTCCGGCGGCGTCGTGAACGAAGGCCACCTGCGAGTAGACGACCCATTAGTTAAAGATAAAGTATGGTAAAAATGCAGAAAAAATAAGGTCGAATATTATCTTTACTAATATTATAAAGAGGTAAAATTTGTTTGTTTGTTTGTTTGTTTGTTTGTTTGTTTGCAGCGAATAGGCTCCGGAACTACTGGTCCGATTTTAAAAATTCTTTCACCGATAGAAAGCTATATTATCGTGGAGTTAAATAGGCTATAATTTATTTTGAAAAAAATTAGGGATCCGTTAGAAAATTGCAATATTGTCGCATATAAAGTGAGTTGCTACCTCATCACACTGACAAACACGCTCCCATAGCATTTTAACTCAATTTTTGTGTTCATTGTGAAATTGTGAAAAAAAAGAATTTTTATTCAATTTAAGTTGAACTGTGAAAATTATGTGGATCGTGCATTTGAGGATAAATTCACCACTCTGTCCATAGTCCAAAATGCTTAGAGGACGACGTGCAAACATTGGCCGCAGACATCCAAGCCAGCAGCCAGTATATTCACAAAACTTAAGCGAAGAAAGACAAATGAGCACATGGAGATCATTAGCATCATTCAATCGCTTGGCATTCCAATATGACCCCACTGCGAACTACAGTGATAAGGAAAATTTAGATATTGGACCAATGACAACTATATACCGATATTGCAGTGCGTTAAAGTTTAAAAGAGAAACGGCTGGATTGTGCTGCGCAACTGGAAAAGTGTTAAATCACCATCTTTCTATACTTCCATATATTTGAAAAATGTTGCAACATTGACTTTTATGTTGTTAAACTGTGTTGACCAGCGAAGCGGACACAGGACCTCTAGTATAACAATATTTCTAACTTTGCATTACTTTGTATTACAAGTTAGGCCAAAAATAAAATGTTTTTTTGTTAAACCAAACTTTGTTAGGTTCAACCCAAACAAGGTAAAATCATCTGCGATTCACTCACCTTTCCAGACTGGTGCGGATGGATCTTGGCCAGGATCTGACCCTCGTCGTTGTACAGGATCTCGAAGGGATGTCGGTTGATCGGGGAGTAGTACTGGTACTTGAAGAAGCCGAGCGACGTCTGCAGCGAGAAAGCGTGGATGTGGCCACGGGGAGTCGTGAGGCTCTGGAGGGCTCCCGCATCATCGTGCTGCAGCAGGTAGTCCGAGCGCCTGGGCGTGGTCACCTTGAGGGGCAGCGAGCCGAACATGTCCTTGAACGCGTACACCATCGTGGAGCCGTCGCCGTACTTGATCTCGTTCAGCCGTCCGTTGCGGTCGAAGGAGTAGGCCTCCTGCAGGACGCCCCACTTCCAGCTGACCAGGCGGCCGAAGCGGTCGTACTCCAGGTCGACGTCCGCGTAGTCACCCGACTGCGGGCGGAAGCTGATGGGCCGCGAGGTGCGGTCGTAGGTCACGTTGAGCAGCTCCTGCTTGTCGTCCACCATCACGACCACCGACTGGGTCTCGCGGTCGTACTCAAGGGTCAGCACGTTGTCCCCGTTGACGCGGAGCTTGCGACCCACCTCGGTGACCGGGCGCGGCGGTCCCTTGCTCTGCTTGCCCGCCTGCAGCGGCTGCTGGCGGCGCACGAAGTAGCGCCACTCGAACCGGTTGGCCAGGTCGCCGGCGATCTCGGTGCGCTGCTTGGCCGGCACCGGGTAGCTCTCGCCCAGCAGCGGGCTCTGTTCGGCGAGGATCGTGTACGGAGCCACCTCCATCTGCAGGTTGTGGCCCCACGGCGTGATGCTGGTGGTCGAGCCGTCCATGTCGACGGTGGTGCGCGACTCGGCGGCGCCGTTGCGCACGATCACGGTGGCGCCCTGGATCAGCAGCGACATCTCCTTCTGCGCGTTCTCCGACACCTTCACCTGGGCGCCCTTCACGCTGAGGTCGAAGCTCAGCTCGATGACGCGGCCGGTGGGTGTGACGGCGGAGGTGAGGCGCCCGAACTCATCGTAGTTGTACACGTAGGAGCGCCCGGTGGAGTCCAGCTTGGTCCGCAGCAGGCCGGTGGGTCCGTGGTACTCGTAGGTCACGTTGTAGTTGTCCGGGGTGCTCAGCTCGTGCAGCATCTTCATGCGGGTCATGCGCAGGCGGCACTTCTGCCCCTTGGTGTTCTCGATGGAGTTCACCTGCGAGGTGTAGTCGCGCAGCAGGAACACCTTGTTGCCGGCGGCGTCGGTCACGGTGCTCAGCTTTCCGTTCGAGGTGTTCACGTTGTAGGTGAACACGTAGGTGGTCTCCCCGGTCAGGATGTTGCGGGTGGAGACGTGCTGGCCGAAGCGGTTGAAGATGTAGATCTCCTGCATGTCCGGCGCGTAGATCTCGTACTCGCGCGAAGGGCTCGCCTCCGGAATGCTGGACATCACGGACCGGATGCGGTAGTTGGCCTGGTCGGCGATGTGCACGTGGCTGTCGGGGGTCACGGCCAGGGCGGCGATCGTGTTGAACTTGGCGCTGGTGGCCAGGTAGTGCTCCGCCTCGAAGCAGTCGCAGCCGCGCTCCAGGCAGTTGCACTTGGACTCGGCTCCCGCGAAGGGAGCGATCCTGCCGTCGGTGCCGATCACGCGCACCCGGTTGATCCGCTGCGAGTCGCTCTCCGCCACGTACAGCTCGCCCAGAGGCCCGAAGGCGATCGACTGGGGCATCACCAGGGTGGCGTGGGTGGCCAGGTCCGTGTCGTAGGCCGTGGAGGCGGTGGCGCAGTGCAGCGGCCTGCCGGAGATCACCCGCACCCTTCCGTCGGGAGTCATGCGCAGGATCATGTGGTCGTCGATGATGTGCAGCGTGTTGTCCATCGGAGACACCGCCAGCTCGGTGGGCCAGCGCAGGTGCATCTCCTCCAGCTTGAGGGTGCCCTCGCAGGGGATGGGCTTCCAGTGGGACTTGTGCATGTGGTTGCCGATCAGGGTGCTCACGATCCCGTCCCTGTCCACCATGCGGATGTTGGTGCCGTCGGCGAAGTACAGGATGTTGTCGCTCGAGATGGCGATGCCCTTCGGGTAGGCCAGCTTGGCGTCCTTGGCCAGGGCTCCGTCGCCGCAGTGCGCCTCGTCGCCGGGCAGACATCGCTCCCCGGAGCCCACGACCGCCTCCCAGTTGAGTTCAGGCTGCGAGTAGTCGCTGGTGTCGCGTACCCGGATGATCTGGTGCGACTCCGGGTCGGAGACGTAGAGGGTGCCGTCGAGGGGACTCAGGGCCATGTGGTAGCGGTAGGAGACGCGCGTGGCGTTCAGCTTCACCACGGTGCGGATGCTGCCGTCGGTCATGATGCGCCGGATGTAGTTGAAGTCGCCCACGAAGAGGCTTCCGTCGGGAGCCGCGGCCAGGGCGACGGGAGCCAGGAGACGCTGCTTAGTGGCCAGGCCATCGCAGTCGGGACACTCGAGCGGACGCTGGTGGCCATCGCCCATGGTGGTCAGGATGATGCGCGGCTTGTTGCGCAGGTAGATGTTCGAGCCGTCGCCCTTCTGCAGGATGCCCTCGTGGAAGTTGTAGCGGTGGTGGATGTCCAGGTTCCAGCCGCCCACCTCCGAGATGGACATGTCGTGGCCGCTCAGCTTGGTCGTCTGGATGTCCCACACGATGTCCGTGCAGTCGGTGTACTGATAGCCGACCTTCACCACCGCGGTGGTCACTCCGTAGACGCGCTGGCGGTAGATGTTGAGCCTGTTCCAGGCGTACGTGAACTTGATGCCCGGGTCCGCCTCGAAGACGCGCTCGAACAGGATGCCCTCGATGGTGATGCGCAGATGGATCAGGTGCAGCGTGGCCGGGATGACGTCTGGGGTCAGTTGCAGCTTGATGGTGGACAGGTAGCCGGCGGCTCGCGAGGAGTGGTAGACGAGGTTGAGTCCGGTGCCGGGAATCTGCAACGACTCCTGGATCACCTGCGACTCGGCGAGGATGGCGCTGCGATCCGGGCAGGCGCCCTGGAAGCCGTGCTTCCACGAGGCCAGCACCACCGGCTTCATCAGGTCGTAGTCGTGGGCAAAGCAGGTGTGCGTGGTCGTCGTGGCCAGTCCTTTCTCCTCAGACATGCTCATAACCACCACGTCAATGATGACCACCTCGTTCCACGGCACTTGCACGATGCGCGACTGCGGCCGGAAAGGAGCTCGTCCGAACTGAAGGGTCACGGCTCCGCCGCCGTTGACCATGAGGTCGAACCATCCGTCGTCGCGGGTCAGGGTGAAGCCCTCCAGGAGCGTGGTGGTGGACACTCGCACTCCCACCAGGCCCATTCCCAAGGAAGTGACCACACGGCCTCTGATAACCGCCGATCGACTGCGGGAGGAATGAGAAGAAGGATTAGTCGGGTCTCGCAGGGATTGGGTCTTCTGGGCATACGGTCTAGGCTAGCAAGCAGTCAAACTGAGGATTGGCATCTACTTGAGCAATAAATAAGTACAACTAATAAAAATTCACACGCACAGAACGTAAGACTCGTTGAACACATAAAGGTATTACAAGTTGAACAATATATAGTATATAGTATGTTATGTATGGTATATCTCATGTTGGTGACCTAGCATTGACCTATGTTCGAGTAGGAGAATGAGTTTTCCATAGCTTAGATCTATTACGTGGTAAACTAAAAACCCAACGCATCTTAGCCTGGTTGTCTGGATAATAAGATTGGGCATTGAACTTAAAATAAACTACCAACTGAGCTTATAAGAATAAATAAAGATAGCTACACTAACAACGAAACGATAATGGTAATTGTAACTGTAACGGTAATGATAATGATAAAGTTTTCGAAATTAGTAGTGAGTTGAGCCAAGGTAACGAGAAAAAAAGTATACATAAGTGTACCAAACAACCATCGAGAATCAGTAGTAGTATTAGTAGAGTAGTAGTAGCTTTAGTATTATTTTAGTACCGCATTTCGCTTGCTTACCTTGCATTGAAATAATTCCAAAAAATGCTGTTAGTATTTCATTTGTAATTCGTTATCGAGTGACAAATAGTACGGGCAACGAGCACCGGGTACCGAGTACCGAGTAGCAAGTACCGAGCAACGAGAGCGATTAGCAGTCGTTGGGTAATGCAAAGCATTTAGAATATTGTGACGCACAGTGGATAGTGTATGGTAGTGAGTATGTGCGTAGTTATTTATTAGTGGGTGGTAGTATCGAGTGGATCAGGATTAATTTAGTAGGTGGCATGTATTATTTTTTTAACACGGTTTAGGGAGCGCGTGTGGAGAAGAGAAGAGAGCAGAGAGAAAATAATTGAATTAGCATGGTTGTCTATGGTCTAGTTAGCTAGAATGGGTAAGTGTCTTGATAATTGCCCCCCAGTTGGGGATCCTAGGCTTTCGATCACACCGAAATCGAGATGACCCGAAGCGGCATCGGAAATAATTGTTATCTAACCCGAATACTTAGACTGCTTACAATAGTTCTTAACGTAAAGGCACTTAAAAGCTAACTTAGGATGGTCTGTCTAGGTTTCAGTTTAAACAAAGGACATATAGGGTTTTATTTACAATATTTTAATGGGATATTTGGTATGTGGTGTGGTTGGATATGTTTTTATTTTGGGGATTTTTTAGACGAGGGCACAAAAACGAAAAACGTAAATATTTAAACATAGAAAATCATTAATTATGCAAACTATTGGTTATTTGTTATAGGTAGTTATGTTACAGTAGTGTAACAACTAGACTCTCGGCAATATACAGAAGAGGGTTTTAGCTTGTCTGCCAATTGTGGAAACTATACACAGCCGTTGCGGCTTCGATTTCGATTTGTGGCTAAGAGTGACCAGGCCAACTGGCACCAGGAAGCACCTACCTCTCGTTAAAGGTCTCCAGCTTGGCGTAGTTCTGCAGGCTGCTCTCGTCGATGAGGAACTTCATTCGCTCGAAGAAGGAGGCCGTGATGGCTGGCGGCTGCTTGCGGAGCAGCACGTCGATGGGCTTCGGAGCCGAGACGCAGAGCTGGGATGTCTTACACACGTGGCTGGCGCAGCACTCGGGGTCCTCGCAGTCAACTAGGCCGTCTGTGGATGGGAATAAGGGTTAGCGAATCTTCTTCACACCTCGACAACCGCTTGTAGTACTCACCCTTGTCGTTGTCCTTGCTGTCGCCACAGTTCAGCTCCAGCGCGATGCCGCAGTCGGGTCCGTCCCAGCCCTCGTAGCAGCGGCACTCCCACTGGCCCTCGCCGCTCACGCGGCACTGGCCGTGGCCGGCGCAGCTGTTGGGGCAGCCCTCGATGGTGCAGTGCTTGCCGTTCCAGCCCGTGACGCACAGGCAGGTGCCGTTCTTGCACTGGCCGTGCTCGTTGCAGCGGGCGTCGCACAGCCGCGTGTTGCAGTACTCGCCGCCCCACTCGGGGTCGCAGGCGCAGGCGTCGCCCTCGCAGCGGCCGTGCTGGCCGCAGTCCAGGTCGCACAGCTCCTTGGAGCAGTCGTCGCCGCTCCACTTGGCCTCGCAGGTGCAGGTCTGGGTGTCCAGGTCGAAGGTCCCGTGTCCGGAGCAGTCGGGCAGGCACTGCAGCGCGTCCTGGTCCATGGTGGCGCAGTCGGGTCCCTTCCAGCCCTTCTTGCAGATGCAGGTGCCGTCGGCGCAGAACCCGTGGCCCGAGCAGTTCGGGTGCGGACAGTCAACTGGGGGGAGAAGAGGGGTAGAGTGTTAGTCGGGGTCGAGAAAGAGGCAACCTGGTAACTGGGGACAGAGGACTTTAGACCGAAGCGCTACCTTCTTCGCAGAACTTCCCCTTGTAGCCGCGCATGCACTGGCACTTGCCGCTGACACAGTGCCCGTGCCCGTTGCAGTCGGCCACCTCGCACTCGTCGTGCCGCAGCGAGCACTCCTTGCCCTTCCAGCCCGGGTTGCAGATGCACTCCCCGTTGGTGTACTCGCCGTGCTGCGAGCACAGCACGGGGCACACGCTCTCGCTGCAGTCGTCGCCCCCGAAGCCCGGGTTGCACTGGCAATGCCCCAGGAGGCACTGCCCGTTGCCGGAGCAGCCGTTGGGGCAGTTCTGGGTCATGTCTTCGGCCACGGCCGCGAAGAAGGTCAGCTCCTGCACGTCCCCGTCGTCGTTGTAGAGCGAGACGAACCAGTGGCCCGGCTCCATGTAGCGCGTCACCTCCCGCGTGATCGACAGCTGCGCGGAATTAGGCCAAGCGACCGAGCGAGCGAGTGATGCGAGTGCGAGTGCGTGGTGGTGGTGTATGGAAGATGGACGGTGCATGAAAGACACAAATGAGTTAGTAGACAATCGGGATGGGGCCATTTGCTTGCAGGCTACTTACGTGGGCGGCCCGGGCCGTTCGTGTGCTGGCACTGAATCCGCTAAGCACTTCCTTAAAGTGGTACTGAGTGTGGGTGGGCAGGGCATTGCGCCGTCCGTAGACTCCGATGGAGGCGCCCCGCGGAATCGTGTAGTCGAACTTGACGTAGGCTGGCTCCGATTGGTAGAACTGCATGTTCCAGTAGCTGTACGGCTGGATCTCCTTGGTCAGCTTCTGGCCGAGAGTGATCTGGCCAAAGGTGGTGCCGTCCGGTGGGAAGCTTCGGGCCGGGAATGTTCGCGCTCCTGGTTTAGCAAAGCGATTGCGGATCGAGCGTGCAATGGGGGTGATAGAGACACAGAGAGGATTAGATTCTGGTTAGTCATCGATAAGGCATAGTGCGTATGTATGTAGTATTATTTGGTAGTGTGACACGATTTGTACAGGTCGTGTCCTAACTAAACCCCCGCAAATGAAGTATACTACCTAGGAAATATTTCAAGTATAAACAAATCTAGGGACTAGTACTGATGTGATGCCAGTAGTTGATGCTTTGGGTTCGTTTGTACAAATGGCGGCTTATGAGGGATGAGCTGGTGGAGTTACATAGACTAAAAGTTAATAAGGCTGTACAGCGCTTAGTAGGGTTAGTAAGTCGCTTGTTAGAAAAAGCGGAGTTAGCAACAAGTGTGCACAATTCACCTTCCAGTATCAGTACTGGCATCACATCTGGACATGCAAACGGTTCACCACTAGCACCGGAAAAAGTGGGTTCAGTGAGGGTGGCGGCAATGTGGTTATCGATCTCGGTGCTCGGAGGGTTAGTAGCGGTGCTTGGAGCAGCCAATGGCTCCGCATCCCCAACCCCGTCTTCGTCCTCCTCGCTGTGGTCATGGCTCAGAATGGTCGCCCTCTCCAGAGGAGCTGGGGTGGTCGGAGGCGCGGTTGGTGGGTCAGAGTCAATGTCAACGCTGTCGTCCAGGTAGATAGGCGCTGGGGGCGGGAGACAGCTGCACGGACAGTCGGGCATCCGGGGAGGTGGCTCCGGAACACAGCTGTCGGCCTGGCCATTCTGCGCTTTCTCGTGGGTCAGCACCTCCTTTATGGTGTGCGGCCCTCCTCCGGTGGGCACCTCCACGTGGAGTGTGTAGACGGAGTCGCTGCCCTCGTCGGTGGCTATTGTCAGGTTTAGGAAAATGCGCTTGCCCGGCACATCCACCTGCTCACTAACGTAGGGCTTAAGGGGCTTTAAATGAAGAGGCACCTCCTCGCCGTTGTCCTGTTCTTTAAGCACCTCGTTTTCACTTGCATCTACTTGAGGAGGTAGGTCCATCTTGGGTTTATTCTTTTCAGCTGTCTTGTAAACCTCCTCTTCCTGGGAGATGGGAGCCCCGTCTAGTTTTACGATATCTATATCCTCGAAGTGCGAGGCATCGCTCATCATTAAATCCGGCTCCGTTTGATTCGTTTGCGGTGACTTCCCGCTGCTGTCCATATTCTCCTTATCTTTGTCTACAAATCGTCGATGAGTAATTAGCACAAGTGGTATAGAATTGGCTGTTTAGACTCAAGAAATCTATAATCGATGCTTTTATCAAGACCTGATTAGCGTATTTTGCTGAGGAACGAAATATCGATCCATGCAAGCTTAAATGTATTCTAATAAATAACTATCGAATGGTATTCATGACTTTACCAACGATCGATTTAATTACGAATCCCTGGATAAAAGCATCGCTATCAAGTTTCTTGAGCCTGAACCCAAGTCGCAACTCTACACCACTGGCTCGACTCGACTCACAGTCGATGTGGGTTTGATTTATACCTTGTGGGGGAGTGGCTGGTGATGTCGGCTCCTGGGTGTCTACCTCATAGTTGTCAGCTAAATCACGCTCATTATTGATATCATCAGTGGCAGGTTTCTCCGTCTGCGACCCCCCAGCCTCCGTGCCTTTGATTTGAAAATCATTTTCAACGGCAGCCCGGCTCGAGGCGGCGGGGAAAGAGCTCTGAGCTGTGGGGTTCTCAGGTGGGGGGGTGGTGTTGATTTCAACAGTGTCATCGGCGTCACTCCTTGGAGTCGTCTCCGGCGTTGGGCCTGAGCTGCTGTTGTCACTTTGATTATCGTCATCAATAACAGCAACCAATGTGCTGGTCTCCGACTCCGTTGCCATCCCAATCGCTTCGAGAAGCTCCTGCTCCAGCTCCCGCTTAATGTGCTCTTCCCCATCCGCCCCGTCGTCATATTTCCTCTTCTTGTTGACCAGTGTTTTAGCAGCGCTGCGCAAATAGCTGTTTAATGATTTGCCAAATTGTTGCCACGTCTTGGGTCTCCGGCTGGGCGGCTGGGTGGTCTCCGGCTCAACCTCGTCTTCATAGACATAGTCGCTGGTCTCTTCCTCGCTCGCTTGGGGACCCAATACTCCATCGATTCGGGGCAAAGTTTTATCGACGACGTCTGTCGGGCTTTTGGCCGGGGTTGTTGCCAAATACTTTTCGGCAAGCTGCTGGTTGAGGCTTTCGCTTGTAATTAAGTCGCCGAAAGTTTCGTCTGTAGCCACATCATTTTCGTCCTGTGCCTCGATTAAGCTCCGCCGATGTCGTCGTCCTTTATCTCCTGCTCCACTGACTGACAGCTGCGTTGACATTGCTCTTCCTACAGGTAAACAAAGCGATCGAATCGATTCGAATCGAGTCGAGTCGAGTCGAAAGGACAAGGAGTGGGAGTCGTTTTCTGTACTCGTGCCCTTGTGGTTGGGTGGCTCCATCCGAAGCCACCCCCGGGTGCCCTCCACCTCTTTAAATTAAGCGTTAAATGTGATTTTAATTCAATCCTAGTTGTCTGGCCTTGAGCCCGTTAAAGAGGTCTTTAGTGAGCGGGCGAGAGCTGAGAGAAAGCAATATATCTGCCAACAATTTGAAAGAGAATAACCCGAGCTGTGGCAATGGAAACTTTCGACTGTCTCCTTCCGACTGCCGCCTCGCCAAGCGACTCGCTGTCAATTCAAAAAAGTAATTAATGCAATATTTTAGCCCGACAAATCCCAAAGAACGCGCTCAAGTTGAACTTTAATTGAAAGAAATGGCAAGGCGTTCCGAGAAATAATGAAAACGGCATTCGCATAATCCCTATCCGGCGTAGGCGTCTGTCTGTCTGTCAGGCGCAAACTTCGGGCTAAAAAATCCTGCAAAAACAATAAACTTTTGTCTCCGCCGAGGGCGCTAAGCGCTAAATACTCCGGCGTCTTGGCTTTCTCTCTCAATCTCTCGCCCGTTGCCCCACGCCACGTCCGCCCGGCGGACGAAACTTGCGAAAACTCATTTAAAAATAATTAAAAGTTGTGCATAATTACCTCCATTATTGGCATTCGCCAGCGACGAGGACAGCGAGGGCGTCAGCGAGGACTGCGAGGTGGCCGCCGAGGAGGAGGCCTCCGCGGAGGCGGACGTCGACTGCAGTCCTTGGGCGGTGCCGCTGTTCGAGGTGGCTGTCGTCACGGTTGCCGCCGACGATCCGCCGCCGGAGCCTCCTGCCCCGACCGCTCCGCTGAGTCCCGCTTGTCCCTGGGCCAGTCCGATGCCTTGTCCGTTCTTCGCGCGCACCGACGAGTTGTGCAGCTTGGAGAGGTCCGTGTTCGTGCTCTTGGCGGCTGTGACCTCGGAGGCCTCGTTGCCCACGAGCACGGTGCACGGCGCCGACTGGGTCCAGTGCAGCCCGCCGAAGGTGGTCAGCAGGATCAGCATGAGCACGCCGACGAGCAGCGCCGAGATGGCCACCACGCTCACCCACGGCGAGGAGCAGCGCGCGGCTAGGTCCTTGCGGAAGTTCATCGGCGCCGAGTAGTGGTGGGCGGGCAGTCCGTTCATGACGCTGCGCGGCGGCAGCACAGGCCCCATGCAGCCCTGCGTGCTCCGCTCGTAGCCCTTCAGCGTGTCCTTCGTGGGGGTGGAGCAGGCGGAGCCGCTCTTGAGGTCGATGGGTGAGCTCTTGTGTATGTCTGCAACGGGAGGAGGTGGTGGAAACGGGAGTCGGGTTAGTAATCAATTCGGGCATTTGAGCGTGCGATTTCCCATTTAAACCAGGTTCGGACAGCTCCGTTTCCTGGGGAACCGCAAAGCAGGGAGGAGGGAGCTGATGTCTGTGCAGACCATCCGCACACTATTGTATTTTGCTTATCGCCATTTGGCGCAAATTTCATTTGTATAAAAGGATTTGCACAAGGATAACAAACTGACATTCAACATAACCTCAAACAAACGAGACGACAGACGGAACAAAGCTGAAAAAAGGACCCAGCGAAATGAAATGGACGAACGGCGAATGAATGGAAGAAGTAAGCAGCGCAAATGACCAGCGACAATGACGTTGGCAAAACAGGAGCCAGCGGGAGCTATGGGGGAAAGAGGGGAAAGTGGGGGGAAAGGTCTGCCTGCCCGCTTGTCTGCTTGTGTTGTTGTGGATCGAGGGTGGCTAAGGATGACTGTGGCGGCTGAAGTGAAGTGAAAAAAGGCAACGCCGCAGGAGCGCCAGGACCTGGGGACAACGCAAGTTGAAATCATTTGTTGATGCCATGATGATAATTCGATTATGTGACATGGAGCGTTCGGCACGGGGTGAATCGTTTTTCGGAGGGATTGGAGTCGCCGAGTGACTGGGATTTGACATTCTCCGACGGCTGCCACACCGCAGCCAGCTTTTGTTCGACTGAGCCGTGGCTCGGGTGCCATAGCAATCAGCCGGGCGGCAGTCGGTCAACTCATAGTGCGCTCACTTTCAGGCAATAAAGTTAGGGCGGTCGTTTTTCGAGGTTATGCTTGCTATCAATGCCAGACTCACTCGGTTACACATTCTGCGGCGAAGGGGCAAACTACTGGCGACATGTGGCTTAAATGCGAGCGGGTGAGTGTGGAAAGTGGAAAGTCATACGCTTGCGCTCGTCCTGTGACAAACGTTCGCTTTCACGAAAAATCGTTGTAATTTCTGGCAGAACGAGCCACGGCAGTCGGCAATCCCCAAGCCCACGAGAGCATAGTTTCGACGCGTTTCGGGCTAACCCACAATGGGTTTCCCCATCCTCCCATCTTCCCATCCCCGTCCCCGTCTGCCTTTTGACCCTGTCCCGTCGTGTGTGCCCAATGATAGCGTGAATAATGTCTGCGTCATTTTTTTACATATACACACATTTGCGGGAATGTGCGGATGAGTGTTAAAGATGCCCACTAAGCGTATACGGGATGTTAGATTTATTTAATGTCAAGATCCCGCCATATGTGCGCGGGGAAGTGGCGGGGAAATGCATAAATGTCCAGGGAGGAGATCCCCAAACCCACACCCACACCCAGTGGAGACCCTCGGGTGGGCGGCCAAAGGTTAAGCCGAGAGTTCTGGGCGAAGCCCGGAGTTAGTTGCCTCGTTAAGGGGGCGTGGCAGGCGGGACGGGCGCTTTTTATGGCCGAAACGTGTGGACGAAGGGGCTGGGAGGCGAGGCGATAGTATTTGTGTGTGAATAATTAACGAACGCATAATAGCAGTCAGCAGTCGGTGGTCGGTGGTCGGCAGTCGGTAGTCGGTAGTCGGTAGTCGGTAGTCGGTAGTCGGAGTTGGCCAATGACTGATATAAATTCACACAAGTTAATGGGCGCTGGATGCTTTTAAAAAGGAGGCTCCGGCTCCCTCGGAAGTGTTTGCAGCCTGATGAGATGAAAGTGCTGCGGGGTCATTAAACGTAATGGCAGACACGACAAAGTATGCCACGATAAATGGCATCCGCCGCCCACTCGGCTCAATTTATCGCCGGAATAGATCACAAATACGTCTGCTTTAGCTCGATTCTCCCCCGGCAAATACGAACCCAATTGCTCTGGCCCGAACCCCCAGCCTGATTGCAGCAGTCCAATAAACGCGATGAACTCGTCGGAGAGATTGGCTTTATCCCGCTTGAAACTTTCGAGCTGCCGGATTGTGCCAACTCCTTCTCGGCCTGCTGCTTCTTGGCTCCAGGAACATAAAATTTCGGTTTATTAATTTCATTCCATTTCACTACATTGACATTTTATGCAAAATGGGGATTAGGCCTGCGGCCGTTTTATGAACCCGAGAGTAAATCGCTTAAATTAAAACAGCACTGCCGCCTGTAAGCGTGGTGGTGGGATTGCCGATATGTTAGCATCGACAACAATAAAAAGTATAAATAGTGTGGCGAGCGCAGCTGGCAGTAATGGCGAGAGTATAATGTGTCGCTGGGTAATGTCAACCCTCCGGGCCACAAAAGTATGGCAACAAGCTGGCGCCACCTCCCCGGCAATGCAACACAAATGTGATTTATGCTGCGTGCAATTTAACATTTTTAACAATATTAAAATTACAAATTTATACACATCCCACTTGTGTGCGAGCTCCAAGGTGTTGTAGTCCAATAAACTCCCTAAGCTCCCCGGGAAGAGGGGCCTTCGGGCGAAAGAGGCCAAAAGGCACATCATTGAGTGGGCGAGTGCCTGGCTTGATTTCATTTTAATTGGCTTTCCAGGCGGCTGCATTTCGCCCTGCTGCCCCCTTTACTTTGCTCTTGCTACCCACGAAGATGAAAACAAGACCGAATACCGAATGAAAGTGATCGAACTACGGATACTCTTTTACAAGGGAGTGTAGTTATTTCTATTGCAATAAATCTAATGGCTGTGCTTTCCGTAAGTCCTTAGCTATGTGATAAATAAATGAACTTATGTGTTGGGTCAATATTCCATCATCCCTTGCGTAAGCACTCAAGGTATGAGCTGCAAAGTAGATAGTTAAAGCTCTTCTCCTCGTAATTAAAAATTATTTCAAGTGTGGAAAGGCGCAAAGTTAAAAGACCAAGGGCTTGGGCGTATGCTGAATATGAATATGAGCCCTGCCCCAGAAGAGCGAAATCCAATTGGGATTCGATACGTAGTTCAGGGCAATGGCTTTCCGAGGGCTTCGGCTCAACTCCCATTCCCTGAGCACACGCAACAATTGTGTGTTAAGTACTTTTTGAGTAATTGCCTTTTGCGAAGTCCAGCGGACTGGCTACAACCAATTTGCATAGCCGTTAATGAACATTTGCTAATATTTTGAGCACTAAAAAACACCGCCATTAAATAGAGGGCCCGTCCCCCGGTTTTGTGGGGCGCCAAAGCGTGCGACAATCAAATAAAAGTACATGAAAAACACATAAAGGCACATAAAGGGGTATCCAGAGTAGAGCAGAGTCGGGGCCCTGTATTTTTTGTTATTCCTCGCATTTTAATGGCAAAGCGCGACGATTGCTTGAAACAAACAGGTAAAACGGAGGAGGCGGAGGTTTGCCAAAGGGAAGTGGGGCTCCCGCCATGTTGGTAATGGAGTTTGCAAACAAACATGGCCGCCGGGGAAAAATCACATAATTTACACGTTTGCATTTAAGTATTAAGTGGGCTGGGATCTGGGAGCTGGCGATGGGAGGGCAGTGGCGGTGGCAGTGGCAACCGGTGGAAGGGCGGCAAAGTGTTTCGTTTACTTTTACCGCGTTTGTTTGCGGCGCTCAGCAGTTGTTCCGCCGAATGTGTGTATAGGTATTTTAGGCTGTGTTCTGGCCCCGACTGAGTTTTATGTGCGCAGGAAGCAATTTTTGGGTCGACTTTATTGCCCCTGTCGTCGTCATCGGTGTTGATGTTGATTTTAAAGCGTTTAATGGCCTCGCGTTGCCGTGTGTCCTCGGCCAAATTGAAAAGAAACCCCCCTTAAGATGGAGATTCAGCGCAGGAAGAAGATCCGGGTTTATATGTTTGAACAAAGTGTTGGGATTGCCAGAGATTTGCCTCGGAATTTGATGGGGTTGCTGCTGGCTTAAGAAGGGCCTTTGAAGGTTTGAAGGGATCCGGATCCGGGAAAAGGGGCTATGATGGATTGACAATGGGACGAAAGGCCGGGAGCGTTGGGGTGGAAATGTAGGACACGATAGGTCTTGGCAACCCCTTCAAGGGGAAAGGGGAAAGGAGGGCAAGTGTCGGTGTAAACTGTCATATTCCCTATACATCTAATCGCGCATTCATGGGCCGGTTATTATGCCAGGAATAATGCGGAAATATGTGCTAGGCAGCCGACTCGCTCGTAATTACACCCGTAAGTGGGCTCAAATTGCGATACTTCGAATGGCTTTTGGTCCGTCCTTTGTTGCGAGGCTGCTTATAATCAAAAATTCCATTTAAAACTTTAAACTCATTACTGAATGTTTAATGCACGCTCGTTTCACGCTCGCCCTGCCGCAGTTGTTGTTTTTATTGTTGCCGCCGCTGCTCTTGTGCGATAAATCAACACAAAAAATTCTGCAATTTGTTAGGCGCGCAAAGACAGCAAGACAGCGAGACGGAAAGACGGACGGACGGACGGGCGGACAGACAGACAGACAGACAGGGACAATAAAGGACTTGGGACTTGGGCTCTCTAACGACGCGGCAACCTGTCGACGTTCGTGAGGAGACCCCAAAAGGGTCGTAGTCCTCGGCGCCATATTGTTTCGAGCAGGCGGCGCACAGCGGGCGACCTGAGTACCGCCTCGAGCTCTAATCAAGTGTATGTGCGGCTTTAAGACGGGATCCGTATCCGGACTCGCATTCCGGGTTCTCGGGCTCTGGGTTCTGAATTCCGAGATCCCCGTTCACCGTTCACCATTCACCGTTCCCCGTTCAGTGGGGCTTAAAGATGAGTGTCATTTGGGAGGGGGAGCAAACTTTCGGCACGATTTGCATGTAAATTAATTGCCCTCGCCGTGTGCCCGTAGCCCGTGGCCCGTAGCCATGCAGCGAGATTTTTTGCCGCTTAAGCAACCCTCGGGGCGAGATAAGTCGTATAAATTATAGCAATTTAATAAGTTTTAAATATACGCATCCGGCTGACTCTCTTTGTCTGTCTCCCGAAAAGTTGGCGGAATCTTGCAAGAAAGTTTACCGCCACTCCAGGACCCAGACTCCGCACTCCTGACTGCGGAATCCAGACTCC